TGATTTACAGTATGTAACCAATAAAAATAGAGAAACCGTTTGACATAGTACTATTTTAGGGATGGACTAAGGGCAGATATTCGACAACTTCCTACTGATGCAACCCCAGGACAGAAAGTTTCTATAGAAGAGAAGCGACAGAGATTGACAGCTAGGATAGCTAAATTTCATGAAACAGCCGATGCCATGACTGCTGGTATGGATCTTGGAACTGCAATAGTGCATTCCGACGATCCTAGATTCTGCTATGCAGGTCATGATGAAAATGGTTGGGGAGAGGTCTCAGATGAAGAGATCTCAGAGTATATTGACGAAGAAATCTTGGCTGAAGAGATGGGTATCTGGATGCCATCATCAGTGCCCTACCAGGATGCATTGGCTCTCGGACTGGGTCCCCTCCAAGCTGAAGAATTAGAACTTCGAAAGGGCCAAGCCAATGACTGCCTCGAAAAGCTTCGAATGGCCCTTGGTCATAAGGCCATCATCTATCGTCAGTATTTTCGAAGTGCTAATTCTACATGGGCTGGGACTAGGTCAAAGCAAGAAGCTCAACGCTGTCAGCTCAAAATTGACAAGTGTGTAAGAAGCTATCAGAGGGCAAGGTCAGCAATGGAAGGTCTAGGCATGGACAAAGCCACCTTGGGGAGTCTTTATCAGCCAATATCGCCTACAGAGCTCAGTATAGACAAAGAGGTGACAGAAGAAAATAGATTTGGACAAGGGTCAGACAGGCTGGCTTGGTTTTGGAGGGGAAATAATGCAAGCCAAGGTCAAGACGATGCCTGGATAGATGAATGTAAGAAAAAATCTTTATCTCTATGATATGTCACTAAAGCTCCAACCGATCTAGTCTACAGGGTGAACTGGTTGAAGGCTAAGGCTAGATGGAATAGATGGCAAGAGGAATTAAGGCTGGTAAGACATGAAATGGGTTGGACCATAAACTGGTTCAAGTACCACCAGAATGAATGGGAGAGAAGGGGTGGCCAAGCCACTAGACCTGGTCATCAAGCCTATGCTTATCAGCAGGTCTTGATGTGGGGAAGATTTGTTGAGGAGGCAGAGAAAAATTTCAATGGATGTCAATTTATACTTTGATCTGGTATACTGTCTTTGCTAGGAAAAATATGACAGGATAATTCTCAATGCTAATGAATGACAAGGTAGCTTAGCTAGCACTAGCTCCACTCTATGTAGTCCACAGCTGGCCGAGATAATTGTATTTAAGATATGGACTGGCCAGATGGTTCCTACAGCATGTATGTACATGGCTGGCCCTTATAAGAGTATATAACTAGCTTATATCTACCCTATGCAGTCCATGTAATTCTGATACCAATAACTGGTTAGCCTTGATTCTACAATAGACAGAATCAAGTCGGCCGGTATGAAATGTTGAAACCAATAACCAGCCAGTCTTGATCATACATGTCGTAGGAACTATCTGACCAGTATACAAATCTGAAACCAATGACTGATCAGCCTTGATTCTACTATTGTACAATTAAACCGAGCAATATTAAAACTAATAACTGGCCAGTCTTGATTCTACATGTTGTAGAATTAAACCGGCCGGGATGCAATGTTGGAATTGAAAACCAGCCAGTCTTGATTCTACTGTTGTAAAATCAAACCGGCCGGAATGCAATGTTGGAATTGAAAACCAGCCAGTCTTGATTCTACTGTTGTAAAATCAAACCGGCCGGAATGCAATGTTGTGATTGAAAACCGGCCAGTCTTGATTCTACTATTGTACAATTAAACCGGCCAGGATGCAATATTAAAACTGATGACTGGCCAGTCTTGATTCTACATGTTGTACAAGCTATCTGGCCAGTATGAAATTCTGTAACTAATGACTAGTATAGAAATTACAAAACAATAATTAGCTAGTCTTGATTCTACTATTGTACAATTAAACCGAGCAATATTAAAACTAATAACTGGCCAGTCTTGATTCTACATGTTGTAGAATTAAACCGGCCAGGATGCAATGTTGGAACTGATAACTGGCCAGCCTTGATTCTACTGGTGTAAAATCAAACCGGCCAGGATGCAATGTTGGAACTGATAACTGGCCAGCCTTGATTCTACTGGTGTAAAATCAAACCGGCCAGGATGCAATGTTGGAACTGATAACTGGCCAGCCTTGATTCTACTGGTGTAAAATCAAACCGGCCAGGATGCAATGTTGGAACTGATAACTGGCCAGCCTTGTTTCTACTGGTGTAAAATCAAACTGGCCAGGATGCAATATTAAAACTGATAACTGGCCAGTATGACATTCTGTAACTAATGACTAGTACTCGTATAGAAATCCCAAACCAATAATTAGCCAGGCTTGATTCTTCTATAGGATTAAACTGGCCAGCTTTAATTCTACGGTTGTAGAATTAAACTGGCCAGGATGCAATGTTGGAACTGATAACTGGCCAGTCTTGATTCTACATGTTGTACAGGCTATCTGGCCAGTATGCAACTTAATAACAAGTGACTGGCTGACTTGATTTTACAACATGTAGAACCAAGACTGGCCAGTTATCAGTTTCAACATTGTGTCCTGGCCAGTTTGATTCTTGATTCTACAACAGTGGAGTCAAGGCTGGTCAGTCATTGGTTACAGAATTGCATACTGGCAAGCTTGATTCTACCTGCAGTGAAATCAGGCCAGCCAACTAGCTAGCTGAATTCTATATCTTGCAGGCATAAAGCTAGCCACTACCACTGATGGTAATCATTTATATATATATTAACACTAAACACTAATTCTACATACTCCGGCCAGCTGTATTATACATTTTGTAGGCATAAGGCTAGTTATTGTGTTTACAGTAATTCTAATATGTATATATCTACACCAGTCAACACTGATTCCACATACTCCGGCCAGCTGGAGTTTGCATACTCCGGCCAGTGACTGGCTGGCCATGATTCTACAGACTTTTGGCACATCCGGAGCCAGGGTTCTACATGGAAAGTGACTGAAGGGTCTGGAACACAATAGATCATGAAAGTGCGTCTTACCTAAACGATGCCAGGTTCTCTACGCCATCCTCGCTGATCGTGGATACAATTGTCATGGGGCGTGGTGCGATGCCTGAATTCAAGAGCTTCCTAATATTGCTGTGGATTGCGGTCACGATCACGTTTAATCAACAGGTGAAGGAGTACGTACGCCTTGTCCATTTCTGCTGTATTGTAGACTTTCCAGCCTGCAGATTCACCTGCAAGCCAGTCTTTTCCAGCAGGGGTGGCGTCAACTTTCTGGCCGTACGTCCAGGATGGATTGGGTGATTGGGTGATGGCGGAGTAGGAGGTAGTATTGAATGGAGGGATGTACATGGTTGGTGAATGAGCTGGATGAAGACAGCAAGACTGACCTTGTATTTATAGTTACAGAGTCACAAATATCGAAGCTAGTCTTCACGCATACGAGGTAGAGGCGCTGATAATGGATGATGCTGACTTCAATTGGCTTACAATGCTATTTCATAAGGACACAAGTTGGGGATCGGACGATGCGTAGACTCGCAGATCATGATGGATGCATCGATGAACGTTAACGTTAACGCGTAATGGTAAACAGGACCTTGTTGCGTCCGTGATCGGATCAGTGTCAACTACTTAGATATGTCAGAACTTACAAGGTGGGAATTATAGGTGCATAGTTGATCCACACCTACTGATAAGAGGTGATATATGTTGGGATCCGAAACGGCCGATCAAGAAGAGGAATGAGTATAGGCGAGCGCAACGTACTAGCGAGTCGAGCAAGTGACGCATATGACGTCGGCCGATATCTTTTTCGTTATATTCCACTATATTCCTATGATACTGAAATTTTCCGTTCCTATGCACGCTAGTATAAAGGTTCGAGTACGAACGACACGACATCTCAGTTCTATCAAAGATACTGAGATGTACGTATATCTGATTCTATCTACCTTACGACGAACTCACAAAAGACTTAGTATCATCATCATTTAGGTACTTGTCACGTAGCACACAGAGTTCTATCAAAGATACTGAGATTATCATCATCGTTTAGCGTCCCGCGTGTCCCCCGCTCGTCTCAACTCTCTACAGGTTATGAGCCCTGACCCGATCATGGACTCGTCGACTCCCAGCACCAACTCCAGCCTGTTCAACATCCCGAAGCTTGCCGAAGACGGCTCGAACTGGATAACCTATAAGGAACGGACGTTAACAGCTATAGGCGCGCGAGGATTGACGAGATATACCGATGGTCGGGCTATTGAGCCAACACCCTTCGCTGTAAATCCTACGACGAAGGCTGTTACAAAGGCGGACGGGTCAACGCCTACGCAGACAGAGATCGATGAGCTCGACGAAAAGATCGACGAGTATCATCAAAAGAACGCACTTGTTAAGCAACAGATATTTTGCACGATCACAGATCGGCTTCTGTTGCGGGTCCAAAAACTAGGGTCCGCGTCCGCAATCTGGAAAGAGATATGTCAGATTCACGAGGGCAAAACGGAACTGGTCCAGATAGACCTGAGGCGAAGGCTCCAGGAGACGAGATGTGATGAAGGAGGCGACGTAAAGGCGCACTTCTCCGAACTTCTACGCCTACGAGAGTCCTTGGCTGGAATGGGAGTCACGGTAGTCGATACCGACTTCCACACAATAATCCTAGGGTCCCTGCCCGAATCTTACCGGCCACTCCTCTCATCCATGAATGCTGCCGCTAAGATCACCAAAACACCTCTATCCCCCTACGAACTCATCACCATCATTACCGAAGAATATGAGCACCGGCAACTCACCGATAGGCATCCGACCAAACAAGGAGGAAATGCTGCCCTCTCTGCGAGGGGAACCGCGGGCAGAGGCCGAACCTCCGGCTCCAACACTAGCAGAACAGATTCCAGCATCGTGTGCTTCAATTGCGACCAAAAGGGCCATTATAGCAGTGACTGCTGGCGCGCTGGAGGGGGAAAAGAGGGTCAAGGTCCAAATCAAAGGAAGAAGAGAGGAGAAAAAGGCGAAAAGGGCCAGAAGCAAGCAGCAAATTCTGCCGCTACTGACCCAGACCCCCAGGACCAATATGCCTTTGTCACGTCAGACTTAGCCACCATAGCGAAGGACTTGAACGTACCTGTCAGCAAACGAGGTGCAATAATGGACTCGGGGGCAACGTCCCATTTCTGTCCCGACCGGTCCAAGTTCTCGAATTTCGTGGCCATACCTGCCCAGCCAGTGCATACAGCCGATGGAACAACCATAAGTGCAGTAGGACGTGGTGATGTCAAATTAGACTTACCGTTAGGTGACAAGCGCACCAGCGTTGTACTCAAAAATGCTCTCTACGCGCCAAAGATGGCGTTCACTCTCATATCGACCAACAGAATCACAGCTGCCGGCCTTGCCGTCCTATTTGAAGGCCGAACGTGCAAGATCCTGTCGAAAGGTCCGAAACGCGACGTCATTGCCCAGATCCCTCAAATCGAGGGACTCTATAGCATTCGAAATCAGCACGAAGAGCATGCGAACGTGGCAAAGTCCAAACTCACCATCAGCGAGGTGCATCGTGCACTCGGTCACGTGTCGCATGCCGCTGTCCTGGAGGCTGTAAAGAAGGGTACTGTTGAGGGAGTAGAACTTGACCTTACCTCCAACCCAGAGTTCTGTGACGCATGCGTCAAGGCGAAGTCAACTCGGAGACCATTTCCCGAGGAGACGAAGAACCGTGCGAAGGCCTATGGCGAAAAAGTGCACACGGACCTCTGGGGTCCAGCCCAGACGATGAGCATTGCGGGCTGCAGCTATTATATTAGCTTCACGGACGATTATTCCAGGCAAACGACCTTACGTTTCCTGAGAGCCAAGAGCGAAGCCTTAGCAGCCTTCAAACATTACGAGGCGTGGGTGGCACGGCAGAAGCCCGGTGCCCGTATCCAGAAGGTCAGGTCCGATAGAGGAGGGGAGTACCTCAGCGAAGAGTTCGATAAGCACCTTGCGCAGCAGGGAATAGAGAGGGAGCTTACCGTGCATCACTCTCCTCAGCAAAACGGAGTGGCAGAACGTCTGAACCGGACACTGGTTGAGCATGCCAGGGCTATGCTGTTGGGAAGGGACTTACCAAAATACTTGTGGGCGGAGGCTGTCAATTACGCTGCTTGGCTGAAGAATCGCTTACCGTCGAGGTCCACCCCAGGGACAACTCCATTCGAATTGGTACGTGGGGCCAAGCCGAACCTGACGAAGGCACGGGAGTTTGGGTCCAGGCTCTACGTTCACCTGATGGAGGCGGGGAAGCTCGAAGCCAGAGCGGAGGAGGCCCTCTTCGTGGGGATAGACACGGAGAGCAAAGCCTATCGCGTGTACTGGCCGTCAAAACGGCGAGTGTCCGTGGAGCGAAACGTGATGTTTGCTCCAGCGGACGTGATGGTGGCAGATGATATGCCGAACGAGGGGGAGTCCCAGCCTAACAACTCAGTTAGCGCAGTTAAAATTGCTGACGCACCTAGCGCTCAGCAAACATCGCCACCAGCACCTCCCACCACTCCACCAAAGCCATCCATAAGACCTACGACCCCTCCGGCTCCAAGGACAACCCGCGTGCGTCCGCCAATAGGCTACTACTCCGCCCTACATGAGGGAGAGAGCGTAAGTCTGGCTGCCGAGTCCTGTTTGGAAGCAGAGGAGTTAGCTCACAACGAGGAAGAAGCACGCACCTGCCATCTGGCCTTAGCGGCTGCCGAACCGGAACCAACACTGCAGCAGGCACTAAACGGTCCAGACGCTGTTGAATGGCAAGAGGCGATTGATTATGAAATCAGCCAATTGGAGAAGTTAGGCACGTGGGAAATAGTAAGTCCGCACTCACGTGTCAACATTATCCCATGCCATTTTGTCCTTGCCACCAAACGCGGTCCGGATGGACAGAAACTCAAACTCCGTGCTCGCCTCGTGGCTAACGGCCAACGTCAGCAAGAAGGTGTCGATTATTTCGACACGTTCGCGCCTACCTCCAACATGTCGACCATCAGGACCGTCCTAGCCATGGCCGCGGAGCGTGACTGGCAGATCCACCAAGTGGACATCAAGAGCGCCTACTTATACGCGGAGCTGAAGGAGGAGGTGTACATGCGTGCACCCCCAGGGTACCTAAAAGAAGGTGATGAGGGAAAGATTTTGAGGTTGAGGAGAAGTCTGCCGGGGCTGAAGCAAGCAGGGTACGAGTGGGCCGAAGAACTTGCTGGTGTGTTCCGAAAAATTGGCTTCACGCGCTCACAGGTCGATCAAGCCGTCTTTTACAAACGGGACCACGACGAACACATGGTTGTCACCGTGTCCGTCGACGATATGGCAGTTACCTCAAAGCACCTCACTCATATCACATGTTTCAAAGCTGACCTGCGCAAGTATTTCGAAATCACGGACTTAGGCGAACTCAACTGGCTACTCGGATTAAAGGTAGAACGGGATCGCGTCGCACGCACCATCACCTTCTCCCAAAACGCCTATGTCAACACTGTCCTCAAAAGATTCAACCTATCCGACTGCAAATCGTCCCAAACACCCATGGATACCAGCGCTGTATTGACCATTGACCAATCTCCCTCGACCCCAGCCGAGCACCACACGATGCGCGACGTCCCGTACCAGCGCGCCATAGGTTCGCTTATGTACGCAGCGACTAGTACGCGGCCAGACATCGCGTTTTCGGTAGCCACTCTCTCCCAATTTATGAGGAACCCCGGGCACGCGCATTGGGAAGCAACCAAGCGCGTGATGCGCTACTTGAAGGGGACAGCAGACTATACACTCACCCTAGGCACAACAGATGGAGGGTTAGAGGCGTACGTTGATGCAGACTGGGCGTCCCAGCCGCATCGTCACTCAATTTCCGGGTACGTCGTCTTGCTGAATGGTGGACCCATTGCGTGGAGTGCCCGCAAGCAACCACTCATAGCACTGTCCACCGCCGAGGCAGAGTACATAGCATTGACTACGGTCACGCGCGAATTGCTGTACCTGCAGCTTCTGATCGAGGAGCTCTACGACGTGCCCCGTACCCCTACTCCCATTTACTGCGACAATCAGGCTGCTATAGCCCTTGCTTCCAAGCCGAAGTTCCACGCCCGTACCAAGCACATCGACATTCGTTTTCATTTCGTACGCCAGCACATCAAAAACGGCACGTTCTCGTTGCTCTATTGCCCAACAGAGACCAACGTAGCCGATGCCTTTACGAAAGCCCTCCCGCGTCCTCGCCTCCAGAAGCTGAGAGCATCGATGGCGCTAGGTTCCGCTCGAGGGGGAGTGTTGGGATCCGAAACGGCCGATCAAGAAGAGGAATGAGTATAGGCGAGCGCAACGTACTAGCGAGTCGAGCAAGTGACGCATATGACGTCGGCCGATATCTTTTTCGTTATATTCCACTATATTCCTATGATACTGAAATTTTCCGTTCCTATGCACGCTAGTATAAAGGTTCGAGTACGAACGACACGACATCTCAGTTCTATCAAAGATACTGAGATGTACGTATATCTGATTCTATCTACCTTACGACGAACTCACAAAAGACTTAGTATCATCATCATTTAGGTACTTGTCACGTAGCACACAGAGTTCTATCAAAGATACTGAGATTATCATCATCGTTTAGCGTCCCGCGTGTCCCCCGCTCGTCTCAACTCTCTACAATATATTGATAGACCGGTCAGCACCACTGAGACGAGGGGGTTAAGTTTCCAGCTAAGTTCAATACTCTCAGTAAGCACGTGACAACTCGGCAACATCCGACCGTCAGCGCTGTGCCCAACAACGAGCAGCTACATTTCTCAACCGTTTGACAGCTCGTTTTTCCAATCAGCATATTACATCCAATAGAGGCGATGAAAGACACTTAAACAGTGGGTAACCCATTATGTTGCATTGGGGCAAGGTCCTAACCCTCGTCTTAGTGCTGTAGACCGGTCTATCACCTCTTATTAATAGAGTTACGTGGGAGCACCTGATCCATTTGTAAGTTCTGAGTCTTCTGACATATCGAGCACTGTGGTTGACTCAATGCGATCACGGACTCGAGTCTCGACACGGTTCTATGCGTTCATCCATCATCCGCAAGCGCCGAGTTCATGACTCTACGTATCGTCCGATCCCCAACTTGTGTCCTTATGAAATAGCATTGTAAGCCAATTGAAGTCAGCATCATCCGTTATCAGCGCTTCGACCTCGTATGCTGGCCTCGATATTTGCGACCATGTAACTATAAATACAGGGTCAGTCTTGCTGTCTTCATCCAGCTAATCCACCAACCATGTACGTCCCTCCGTTCGATACCACCTCCTACTCCACCACCACCCAATCACCCAATCCATCCTGGACCTATGGCCAGAGAGTCGACGCCACTCCTGCTGGAAAAGACTGGCTTGCAGGCGAATCTGCAGGCTGGAAAGTCTACAGCACAGCAGAAATGGACAAGACGTACGTACTCCTCCACCTGTTTATCACCCGCGATCGTGACCGTGATCGACAGCAATCTCAACAAGCTCTTGAATTCAGGCGTTGTACCACGCCCCATGTCACTCGTATCCACGATCAGCGAGGATGGCGTAGAGAACCTGGCACCTTTCAGGTAAGACACGCCTCCATAATCTAATACATTCTACATGCTTACCTGGCTTGCATCCACCAGTTGGTTCAACACAGTGAGCAATGCGACAAACAACGCGTCCCTCTAGTGGTATCATAACCTTTTCCCATAGGTCACCAACTACCCACCTGTCATCTCATTCGCGATCAACCACAATGCTACGGGCAGCCTAAAAGACACGACCGCGAACCTGAAGAATGGCCAAGGATTCGCCGTGAACATCATCAGCGAGGCATTCGTTGAGAATGCAAATTCGACTGCCGTAGACGCTCCTCCCGAGTTCGACGAGTGGGCTCTCAGCGGTCTGACAAAGGAGAAATGCGTACGCGTGCACCTTCATCATTCGATATATCGACTAACGATCACGCGTTCAGGTGCAGATAAGAGCCTCGCGCGTCAAGGAGAGCGCTTTTAGCATGGAATGCGAGGTAATTAAATTTCATACCGATCCCACTGGCTTGCTGACAACGTCGCCTCTCAACAGCTCTACCAATCGATAGACATCACGCATCCAGTCACAGGCGAGCACAACAGCACGCTCATCCTCGCGCACGTCAAGTACTTCCACGTGCGCAAAGACCTGCTCACAGGCAGAGGTGCGGTCGATCTCACAAAATTCAAACCTGTCGGGCGTGTGGGCGATATCTCATATGCCCGGGTCGGAGATACATACAGGATCCCTGTGCCTTCATGGGCGCAGGAGAGGGCGAAGATACAGGCAGCATTGAAGACCCTCGCATCACCATAAAATAGAACGAGGGTGGCTTACCATTCTGGGGAACACATACCATAGATCATATAGATATCAGCATCCAGGTGGGGTAGAGTCCGTCGCTATTTCTTATCCCTAAGATAGACCTGTATAATTGACTAGCAAGCCGTACTTTTTACATTATAATGATCATGAATCTAAGTAATCGTGTATGCTCCATTGCAAACGAACTACGTACTTAGGTGCTTTCAATAGCCACGAATCCAAACAACCGGATGTGTACTCAACATGGTCCAAGTGCACATGTTGAATCCAATGCAGACACACGTTATGGTCCTCTGCATGTCAAATTTTGAAATCTTGTATTTGCGAGGGTCATTTGCAGGGTACGTATGATATATGAGGCTATGATAATGTGATCGTCGACGTGTTGTAAAAAAACATTCAGCTACAATATGTCTAGGGTCTCGATGTTCATAATGTCAATCGAAGCCGGGTCTTTCACCTGCGCAATGATATATTGGTCCGATGCGACCCTCTTGTATTCTCCAACGCGTTGCTCCGCTACCAAAAGTGCGCTGAAAGCCTGCCCAAGGTGAACCATCAAACGCAATGATCGTAAGTGAACATCCGAGTCAACTGACAGCTTCTCTTCTCCAGGTGAGTTGCTGGACCGCTCGTCAGCGTCGTCTGATCCAGACTCGGACTCGGACCAATCCCCTACGCTCTCCACTTCGTCTGCAAAGGTGGGCTGCTCTGAAAAATCAGGCAGCCCAAGGAGACGACGGTCCCATGGACGGACAAGAAAGAACGTCTGCTGAGTGGGCCTTGTGCGCGAGAATTGAATTAGGGTCTCGTCCGTGGTGATCAGCAAGTCTCGAAGCCCATCTGCTTTCACTCCATACGTGAAATGGGCAGTACGGCCCCGCTTCCGTTTGACTTCCGTGACAGGGAATGCGATGCAAGGCAGACGGAGTCTGCAGTTCGCAAATAGGGGAGCATTCATGTTCTTGAGTAGATTATACAAGTTCGAAGCTGAATCCACAGGCACAATGTTTCGCAACGAAGAGACCGCTGTCTGAATCTCATCGTCAGACAATGATGGTAGGGAGTATGGCGGGGTTGCATATGAGATGATGTCGGCTGGAAGGCAACTATTGAACTCGGACGATTGTCCGACCCAGTCCAGGCAAGTGATGTCACCCGACCGAGACACGAGATCCTGCAGGAGCCGGCCGAGCGCGCTCTGCTTCCTCTCCCCATAGATGACAGGTAGGTGGACGTCGAAGATACCAAATAACGAGTACGCGGTGTCTTCCTGCACAGTGGTGACGCGCTTCGATGCCCATTGCAGTTTCTGTCTAGGGTCTCTCATCCCTGGATTGAAGGAGATCAGGGCCTGTGCATCTATTCCCGTCGCATCCTCCAACTCCTTCATGATTGCTGGGGACTCTTTGTGGTTGGGAGTGCGATCGTTTCGATATAATGACCAGTCGTTCTGATAAAATATAACGACTTTCGGAGCGACGAATTCTTGAAAAGTCCATCCTCGTTCGTTCCACACACTGCTCGCCAGTGCGCCGGACTGGGATGAAGGAGGAACATCGGATAGGTAGACGATGGTGAGCGCCGAGTGACGGTACCAGACGAACATGGATTGGACCGATTCTCCAAGCTCGGCGTTGTTGGTCTTATCGATGCAGCATGTATCCATCCACGCCCAGAGATACCCCGCATCACGAGCGATTTTGCAGAACGACTGCAGTTTCGTGATGCCACCAAGTCCCTTCAACTCGCGCACATCTTTATTTTGGATGTGGTGCAGCAACACCTCCGTCTCTTCCCACCTGTGTGATAGCAAAACGCAACGGAAGTGCGTCGCCACCACCTCCTTGGTGCGTTCCATTTGCAGATCCGAATACTTCGTTATGGATGACAAAAGCTCCTTGTACTCTGAACTTGTTTTGAAGGAGTTCAGCTGTGCTGCTCGGTCGCACAGAATCCCCGTGGAGGTGTTGAGCAGACGAAGGGGGGCGTTGCTGAGTTCAATCCAAACCGCTCTTCGGATAGCGTCTTCTGCTTCCGATGGACGGACGTACTGCCGACGCAGATCTGCAGAACAAGATAGGCATTACGAGACGAGGTAGCGATGTTCCATGTCTCACCTCGTATCTGCACTTCTGGAGCATTGTCCAATTTGGACAACATGATTGTGAAGGCCTCAATGGCTTCATCATAACGTTGCGCGCCACGCAGCGCTGAGTGTGACAACTGGTACCCAACATGAGATGAAGGGTTGAGTTTGGTGACCTGTGCATCGCCGAAGTCAACATTAGCTACGAAAACGTGGATGCCATCGCACCTTTTGCGCGTCGAGTAGCGCATCCTCCCATAACATTTTACATAACTTTGCCTCGCTGCGATTTGCAAAGAATATATAGGATGCAGAATCCAGGTCGATCGCCATCGAGTATAGGTCAATAGCCTCGTCGTAATCGCTTGCAGCGAAGGCAGCCTCTCCATTGGCAGCGCAGAGTGCGCTGCATTCCTGTTTGAAATCTGAGAAGAATACAGGTGAGGATTGTCGCCTGCGCGACATTACGGGTTCTAGACTCACCGTCAGACCAATCAAGGCAGTCGGCCTTGGTGATTTCGTCACTTGAAGTCATCGTGTGTTGGTATGATTTCACGGCATCTTGGAGTTTACCCGATGTAGCAATGTTCCATGGCTTACCTCGTATCTGAGCTTCGGGAGCATCGTCCAACTTGGATGCCTTTGAGCGATGGACGTAGGGAATATGGTTGTTCGCGTCGGTATTGATATCTTGCATGAGGAGTTCTTCGTCAGTAGATAAGTCTCGATCTATGCATGTATCGCGGACTGTTGTGGTGGCAATAGTCTGCAAGAAGCATGCTCGATTTGTGGTATATGAGTCAGAGAAGGAAACATGCCTTTGGATGTATACCCTGAGGTACTGTCCACTCTGAGATCATCTTATCGAAACCTCCACTGAAGATGTGATTGCCGTCCACGGAGAAAGTGACGCATAAATTGGCGTCTGAGTGCTTGAAGACGGCAATGGTTCGTCGATCTGAGAGCTGCCAGAGACGAACACGTTTGTCACTAGATGCGGATGCAACGAGTGTGCCAGCAGGATGAATGACAATGGAATTGATGTAGTCAGTGTGGCCCGTCCAAGGATCACCGACCTGCTTCCAGGTTGTTGTATCCCATTCGCGTATAGTAGAATCCTGATAATCGCCGCCTGTGAGAAGGCGTGTGCCATCGGGCGTCCATGCGAGTGCCGTGTTGGATGAATTGTGATCCTTGAATGATGCAACGTATTTCCTGGTGCCTGAATTGTAAATTTCAATAAGGTTGTCGTTTGTTGAGATGGCAAGAAATTCTCCAGACGGTGAATACCGTATGCAGCGGGCATAGCCACACTCGATCGGGATATCTCCTTGCAGCTGCCAGGTTTTGGTATTCCACAGTTTCGTCATTTTGTCATAAAATGCGCTAGTGGCCAGCACTGTTCCATCGGGAGAAAAATTCAACGAGGTGATAAAATTGGAGTGTGCTTCGATTTTGGTGAGTAATTCGCCAGTTTCTCCGTGCCAGACGATGACCTCTCCGATCAGTGCATCACCGCTTGCTATCAATTGCCCATCTCGTGATACCGCCAATCTCGACACCCCATTGCGATGCCCCTCCATCTTCTTCAACACAACACCTGTCTTCAAGTCCCACAGACAAGGCGTTGTGTCGTACGAGCCCGTAACCATCCGACGTCTATCAGGGAAAACTGCGACTGCAGTTATGCTTCCTTCATGGCCTTTGAACGATCGCAGGGGAGTGGTGATTGTTTTGGGCCCCAACAGTTTACTGAATAATCGCATGGAATACGGACGAGGCTAAACTTTGGAGGGATTATGTCTTTGTCTAAGCTGTAGAGGGTGTATGGTGCGTTTTATAGTGCTTCCCAGCTCAATAGACGCCCAGAACATCCAAGGCCGCCTGTTTGTGCCCACGCCTCCATCACCGTAATGCACCCACCCTACTGTCATACACGCTGTCCTCAACAGTACGGACATCTGCAGTGCATGCATGCGTCCGACTCTTATCTTCGCAGCTTCCAGATTGTATCCCATCGCATCAAGTCGAGCAGTCCGTGCTTTCCAGCGCTCGAATCTGGCTGTCTATCCTGCATCAATACCGTTTTTTTTCGTGTCTAGCAGCTACTCCGGCTTATCACCACGTTACTCCTTCGAACGCATGTATATAGCTTACTGAAATATCACTTCTCCATCCAACAGACTCCCAAGATCCTTGTGTGCACAAGATACAACGGACTCGCCTTACATTTAACCTCTATTTGGCAGGTGGCAAGCCTCTTCCCATGTTGCATAATAAATATAGAGCAAACTTGAATATGCTGACGGATAACGAAAGCCAACGACACTAAAAACACAGGTAATACATGATTTCACCCCAGAACCATATCCGCACAGCTCTTAGCATTGCATTTTTACCAACTGCGATACCCTTTCCTTCGTGTGGCGAGGGGTGAATATGCACGGGAATACAGGGTGCCTGCATCGGCTGCCTCAGATAAAATACAGGGATTCTCAAAGATGACTCACGTCGTTAAGCCTCCCGTCCATTTCACTCCTACAGCATCAGGCCCGACATTCCATCCTGGCGCACGTTCCAACCGGAAAACAGTTAGAATATTCACAACTGCGGCGAATAAAGAAGCATCGACGACATGTCGTCCAACACTGTTGAAAGGTGAGGCAAACACGTCTATTCGCAAAACTCCAAGCTTCGTACCAAATACGCCTTCCAAATCCAAAAACGAAGGAAATATCATCACTGGCAGGGCCGTGTGTTGACGGATCTTCGACGACGACTTTTGACATGTGACGCTCGGGTATGAACCTCGTTGGGTTAGGATATTTATCTGGATTGCGCGCCATAAACCTTGCATAAGAAATAATTATGTGTGATCTTTGTTCACTTGATATGATGAATCACCATGCGTTGGGTATTACAGTAGCCCCTTAAGAAACAGTTTAAGAAGAGGGATAGGGTTCTCTGTCCATAGACTGACCTTTTGGAATATAGTAACCTTCGTAGACGTCGTCATTTACCGTGGCATGTGCAATACCTAAATCCGGAGTCAGTGACCATGCTAACCGGAGTTTGACGAGTCAAGAGTGCTGACCCAGAGGGACGACAGGGAACCACCTCAGCGTCTCCAGTATGATGGCATTGATGTAGGGCATAGAAGCGCGATCATCCCAGTCGGGCAATCTTTCGAGAGTTTCCCCAATGACGGAATCAATCTCTGCTTGCGCACGTGTTTGCACCTCGGGATATAGAACCATCGCGAGCAGGAAGACGTATAAAGTGGACGTCGTCTGGGTCTTTGGTCAGTATATGAATAAAATAGAAATCGCGTCACAATATACAGTTTCTGAGGCGGCTGGGAGTACGGAGAAAATGCGTAGAGATACGTCAAAAACATAATGACCATTGCAGATTTGTCACGAATCAGCATAACCAGATGCACTGGATTCCTTAATCCCTTTTTCAAGAACGGCGGCCTCCCCTTCATCTTGTGTTTTGACTGGTATACGTTTCAATGCATCCGACACCACGGATGGTGCAGCCGTCCCCGCCGCCTGAGGATTATCATGAGCCTAATATAAATGATACTCCGATCAAAAGGCACTTGAAACTTACCATGTTGTTCTTCACATGTTCAAAGGGCATGTCCATAATCGTGGGAACGAGGGTTCTCTGGACTATAGCATCCCTTACAAAGCTCGCTCCAGGGAGCCAAGGAGGAAGTTTTTCTACTGTGGGTGTATTAGAATAGAACTACAACTGATCGAAGTTATACGCACATATGGGAAACTGTGTTACAACAGCTGCGACCTCGGGCCTGAATACCCTTACATCTATCTCAAGTGAGCGTTCAATGAGCGCGAGGAAGGGATCATCAACGGGCGCTATAGCATAGTCATACATGATTGACATGATGATAGACGTGCTGAAGCTGTGTAGAAAGTATTGTTCAGCCACGCAATACATGAAAGGAGATATTACTAACGTGTAAAAATGGGTTCCATACGCCTCCGGAGAGGCTAGTAGGTTCAGTATCAAACTGCGAGCATTGCACATTTGAATCGGACGGAAGGATGACACTGCTTTTAAATGGAATGCTTCATGGAAGATTCGCCTGTCTGTAAAGACATGATAAGTGCGATAAGAGAGCTCGAAGGGATAATATACTAACGAAGTTTCAATTTGTCTGAGTAGGGTAGAAAGGTAGTGGAGTAGTCATGACTAAAACTAGGACTCGTTTAACAACGGGTACATCAAACGATAGAAGGGCCTCGCAAGTCAAGAACATGCACAAGCCCTGGGGGTCTCGTGGAATAGTTATGTGAACGACGGTCGAGCAAGTCATGGGCAACTCTTTCAGAGTTGATGATTACGATATCCTGACTAAAGAGTCGGGTGTAAACGATTTCCCCTGTGTTGCAATTCAGCACATCCAGATTTACATGTCGGAGGTTCTACGCACCATACTCGGTTCCCCATCTTGAGTATGCTAACCATGGATGATCTGGGTCGATTCCGATCACATTTCCAATAAAAGGGAGAGGTGGAGGACCAGGGGGTAAAGGATGCTTCTTAGTGTGTCTCTTCTTTTGCAAGGATTGCACTACCACGAAAGATACAAGCGCTATGAGGGCGAGTGCAAGTACTAGTATTGGAGTCATCGCTGGAACCAAATAAGTGACTGAAGCGCCCCCGTATACGTGTCTGAATTTTGTACGGCCGGTGACCCCATTGATGCTGTGGGGCTATGTCGCCCCCGAAAACTTTGGACAAGTATCGATTCTTGACGGCCCCGAACCCCTTGAACAGTGTCTGAATCGTCGAAGTATATCTTGGCTTCAGTCCGTGGAGATCGATTGTGTCGCACCTGTATATCTGTACGGCTAGACTGTACGGCCGTTAACGGTATTACCTTTACGTCGGAAAGTGTGCCGGTGTATTAACCTGCCCTAAACTGCCATACTCTGCAGGTGACGGACAGCCACAGCAACGACTTAGTCTTTCCAAAACCGTTTGTCGCATATTTGACATTGATATCGTCTTGCAGCTTTCACCAGTAATCCCTGCCTCTATTATTTATCTTTCTGTGATCATCGGATCGATCTCCAGAATTCAACATCCGCCGCCTATATAGGGAGAAGTTTGACGTGATTTGACAGCCATTTGCATAACGCTAGGCCTAAGCAAAAAAAATACATACACTCGGCAACAAGTCGGATCCTGAACATTTCAACTCCCGACGCTTGATCTTGATCCACGATGGGACGACACATATCCAAGGAACGAAAGCAGATTGCTCTGCAAATGAGCGTGCTGGGCATTCGGGATCCAATGATCCGTCGTTACACTGGCATAAGTGAGCGTTCACTGCGCTACATCCGGAAGACATTTCGGGAGACTGGCGAAGTCGTGAGGACACCAGTTTGTGCAGGTCGACCTCGCGTCCTCGATTCCCTCGATGCAAATGTGAGTTATTGTTTAATTTTAGTATTACTCATATGTGACTCCTTAGTTCCTCGAGGCATGCATTGAGCGACAACCAGATATTCTCCTCACCGAAATGCAAGATCAGCTGCGGGAGATCTGTGGTTCTGAAGTCTCGATTGCAACAATTTCAAGAACGATGCGTAGGCGAGGGTTTACACGGAAGAAGGTAGGTCATCACTCACTTGTCCTTACTGATATGTATGATTCAATACAGCACTGTCTAGGTTACACGCCCTTCTGTCGAACGTGACGAAGATGATCGTGCTGCCTTCAAGATGCTTATAGGGGAACATTTCCAGCCAGAACACCTTGTATTTGCAGATGAATGTCATTTCAACCGAATTTCCCTTCGCCGTGATTTTGCTTGGGCTCCTATTGGACAGCGTGCGCGACGGCGGGACTTTTTTATACGTGGCAAAAGGTACTTTTGTAGAAATTCTCTTGTCAATGCGTTGATGTTTTGTTAGATATTCAATTCTTCCAGCATTATCACTCAACGGTATCCTGCATTTGGAGGTTCTAGACCATTCGTTCTCTGGTGAAGAATTCGTGCATTTTGTTTCTGGTGTATTAGACCAAATGCAGCCCTGGCCCATGCCAAACTCGGTGTTGGTCATGGACAACGCAAGCATCCACAAAGTCCCAGGTATTCGTGACATGGTTGAAGAGCGGTATGCTAGTCCTTATCTCATGCTCAATGATACTGATTCTCTTTTGTGTATAGTGGTATGCGGCTCTTGTACCTGCCCTCTTATTCACCCGATTTGAATCCTATCGAGGAGGCCTTTTCGGCCATCAAGGCTTGGCTTCGCTCAAACCGTGACTATGTCCTTGGTGAGACTGAGGGTCCAGCTTGCGACCCATACACTTTGATATGGGAAGCTGTGTATGGTGTTGTCACAAGTGAAAAGGCTCATGGTTGGTACAAGCATAGCGAATATATCGCGTAATGGTGGGGTCATTATGGAGTGTGTTGAAACTACCCTTGCAGGCGTGTTGAAACTGCCAGCAGTGCTATGTTACTAAGTGATTAATTTGTATCAGGTCAGGAATTCCTCGTGCCCCTCGGTCTCATCATCACTCGTGTACTCGTCAGACTCGCCACTTCTATACCCATCAGTCCATGATTCTCCTTCCTGCCATGTGTCATCCTCAGCCTCGACAGCGCGTTCCTTGCCTTTATTCTGAGTCCCTGGGCTGGGTATCTCTGGTTCCTCGTAGGAATTGACGAGTCCAAGGAGCGGTAGAACAGTCCGTTTAGCATAATTGCGGAGGATTCTGGCTCGCCTTTGTCCCATATTGCCGATCACACTCAGCACATCCTCCGGTAGAAGTATTACTTGGCTCGATAAAACTACCCCTGCATCTAGCAGGGGTGTTTCAAGTTCGGCAAGTCGCAATTCTGGTCTTTCAGCATTGATCAGTTCAAGCAGCACCCCAACTTTTGGATAGTCTGGAAATGATGCGCTAGGGATATGGCTTGCAGATTCAAAGTGACGTGGCTGCGAAAGCGGCGGAGGACTGGGAGTCTTCAACCAAGCTGTGGTATCAAAGTGGCGTGGCTGCGAAAGCGGCGGAGGACTGGGTGTCTTTGACTTAGCTGCAGTAGGATCTGCTGTTATATTCTGTATGGTAACATGGACTTCAGGTGATGATGCCGACCTCGAGTGACGAGGCTTTTTGGTTGGGCCGCGGTCGAAATTGAGGCAGTGAGGTGGGTTGTAGATTGTTGCGTGACCAAGAGCCTAACCCAGTTAAGTTTTTTTCTCTCTCTTGTGGATGCGAGACTTACAATCTTTTTAGCCCAGAGAGTCATCTCAGCGTGATCAAGTCGACGATGGTTATCATAGCCACTCGTGCGATCTACGAAACAATGACCGTGGTGAAGTTCGCATCGAATCTGGCTCTCAAGCTGTTTGTAAGCTTTGAGTTGCGTCACATCCTCGTCACTTGATGCTGGAGGGATATCATCTGTGCGTGTCCTCTTTTTTGCTTTGGCGGTAGTAGTCTGTTTGACCTTGTGGTAACTGTAAGTTATTTTCATTTATGTGACGCAGATAATCACTTACTGCTGCATTCTTTACCTCTAGGGCAACGACTCGTGTGCGCGCATTGGACGCTTTGTGACAAAGACGGTCCATGGAAATACTGAATGCTTCCGCATCATTCAGTTGAGTAGCTCTACTGTTGTCCCCCACAAATTTATACACAAGTTGGACGTCATCAGCAGCACTCTCAAGGAATGCAAGAACACGACTTTTGAAGTCCTCCCAAGGCATGTCTGTCTCACCACGAAAGCCACGCTTCATGTCATCAGCAATAACATCAATATCAAAACTAAAAACTGTAAGTCGGTCAGTATTGATATGGTGGCAAATTCAAGCTCATACCACCAGGGCGCGGTTCAGGATTCGGTCGCAACCTCGATGCTTGGGACGACGTTGGTGCTTGGGACGACGCTGGTGCTTGGGACGACGCTGGTGCTGCCGGCGCTCTCGATGATGCTGGGATTATTTCAGTATTCGGTCGCATTGGTGGGTACTGTGGATACTGGGGCTGGCCAGCATATTGCTGGACAAAATGTGGTGGAGCATAATGGTGTAAAGGTGGTGCATAGTGGTGCGGCATTGGCGGGTAATATTGCATGAAAGGTTGAGGGTGCTGTGGCGGCTGCTGCTGGTGCTGCGGCAGCTGTGGTGGTGGATAGTGACGAGGATGAAGATACATATTAGGTGCGTTGCCTGTGCCAGAACCCAGAGGAGTACTTGGTGACATGGTTGGGAAGATGGGCTTCAAACTTGTGTGTCGAGGAGGCTCTTATAGTTTTTTTTTCACTGTATTGTACCATAATAATTGACACATATGTCTGTGAACCCGTCGGAATAGAAAATGATCACTTTGTTTTGTTTTTTAAGTCGATTTTACTGGCGAGTGTCAAGCGCGCGCACGGACCATGTTTGCTTATATATATCACGACAGATTACAACACCTTTCTATCACCTTCTACAACAATGTCATCACCTGTAACTCCACCAAACAGACGTCTTACCCTCCCCAGTAATCCGACTTCTCCCTCCAATGCTTCGTTCTCTTATAGAATAACAGTAGGCAATAAAGTCTCGGAGGATACACTGAAGGCGTGTGCTGAGCTCTTCAGCTCCAACTACGGTATTTGGGGTGATGAAGCAAGCAAAATTTCTAGTTTCACCAAAGCTGGTCAGTAATCAATATACATCCTTGGTCATTGCTGAGTCTTTTATATAGGGCAAAAGGTGAAGATGACCGGCGCAAGGCTTCGAGCCCAATGTTTGTCTCACCCAGAGAATACTGTCCTGGTGACCTGCCACCTCCAGGTTGATCCGTCTGAGAGTGAACGTCCCAAACTCTGTGGTCATGCGTTTGCTTCCATGTGGAATTATGGTGAAAACAAAAGTAGGTGTCGCACAACTTTCTCTCGCGAGGTTCACCTTCTGATTTTGTCTAAGTTGGCTGGGTGACTCAACTTGTTGTTGATGAAGCAGTCCGTCAGCGTTATGTTGCGACACAGCTCTTGCAAACACTCAAAGTCCATGCCCCATTCTCCCGCATCAACATTGTTGGTCTGGTCTCATCCCACCCTGCTGCTTGCAATGCTTTGGCGAAATATGCTGGTAAGTTGATGTTATCACTCATGGATTTCGGATAGCATAACTAACAACATGAAGCGGCTGATCTCAAAGATGTCGACTTGGACTTCATTCGTGCACATAGGGATCCGCACGGGTATACCCTGGGGTGTCGGGGACCTGACCCGCACCCGCACCCGGCAAAAACCCGTACCCGCTCTGACGGGTACGGGTTTTCGGCGGGTACAACAAGCTCAGACCCGTACCCGCACCCGTGCAGGGTTTACCCGCGGGTACCATAGGTATCACCACCAGTGCTTAGCACATATGTCCAGCACACGTCAGCGAATGCTGACGTGACTCGAACATATGTGGATGGCACAAGAAGGAGGAGTGGAGGCACGGCGCGAATGACGGACGCGTCGAAATAGACGCTGATGTCGTGGCAGGTGGTGTGTCGCATACAATCAAAGTCGAAGGTGAGCGTGTCGAAATGGGAGATGGTGGTGTGGTGGCGCGAGAGTGTGATGTGTCAGGCGTCGCGTCCTCATTGCAGAAAATGGGGGCAGAGTCAGGACGGCGACTTACTGACAAGATCATTCCTTCCTCCTCTCGTTCCTCCTCTTTTCCTTCTCTCTTCGTCCTGGTGTCTTCCGTGTGCATTCGAGCCACGCCAGCATTCGCTGGCGTGGTCTGAGCATGTACGCTTGATGCTGGCGAGTCAGTGTGTCGCGTAGGTGTTGGCGTCGTAGATGGGATGGTGGTGTTGGTGTCGTGGATGGTGGCGTTGGTGTCGTGGATGGTGGCATTGGCGTCGAGGATGGTGGCGTCGGCGTCGTGGATGGTGGCGTTGGCGTCGTGGATGGTGGCATTGGCGTGAAAGCTGGTGGTGGTGCGAGTGCTGGGCGCACAAAGATAGGCGCTGGCGACGTGACACATATGACGTCGTCGTTGTTGCTGGGGGTAGAGTCTTCAATGTGAGTACTCACTTTCAGCGTGCCCAAAGTCTCGTCTCCTCGAGTTCCTCTTTCCTCCTTCATCTCTATACCATCCCTTCTCCCTTCCTCGATTCTCTTGTCCTTTCGTCTTCGCGTGTCGTCCGCGTGTGTTTGCATCGCGTCAACACTTGTTGATGCGTTTCGGGCGCGCGCGCTGTGAACGTGGAGTTGGTGGACTTGGGAAGGCGCGTTAGGTGCCGGTGTTGGTGGTGGTGCCGGTTGTAGCGTGCACGCGGGAAGTATGGCGTCCGCTATTACTGATGCAGGAGGTGCTACCATTTATGGAAGGCACGGGTATAGCTGGGGTACGGGTAAGAGCGCGGGTCTTAGAATCCTGACCCGTACCCGTACCCCAGTAGTACCCATACCCGTGACCCGCGCGGGTTACCCGTACCCGTGCAGATCCCTACGTGCACATGCCAAGGGGATTCTGCAATCCTCCCCCATCAGTTATCTGAATGACGCTCAACTGAGGGGCACACTCTTTGAAGATGTCTGCCGCAATGGATCCATCTCGTCTGTGTTCACCCAGTTCTATGTTGACCATGCGGAGCCTTTGAGGGTGCTGTCGCATTACCAGAATAAAGGTCAATGGTGCTTGGGTGAGCTTGCTGATGGACATGAGTTTCTCGCTATTTTTCCTATCGTGCCTGTGAGCCCAATTTCGCCCATCCGATTACAAGCATCCTAGAACCTACTACTCATCATATCGGAGCATCAAAATTTAAATACCGCTGTGTATGTAGTAATTTTATTTTGGCCTAGCGTTATGCAAGCAGCTGGAACAAGAAGCCATACCTATATATAGCTATAGGAGGCACATCACCAAGTTGCATATAAATCGCCGTCGATTACTGCACTTCCCCGTGGTTATAAGGACGGTCGTGTTGTATACAGTTTGCTTATCCACTGCTCGAATCATGGCCCTTGCAGTTGATCGCCACCTTGCTATCCTCGCCGGCATTTCTCTTTCCTTTGTCGCCGTCAAGGCACTTAGGCGGTTCATCAAAAAGCGACAGAATAATGCTCCTCTTCCTCCTGGCCCAGTGCCCCTCCCACTGTTGGGGAGCGTATTATCTATCAACGCTTATGAGCCTTGGCCGACTTACACCGAGTGGAGTGCTGTGTATGGTACGTGAACAGATACCATATATAGGGCATACGTAGTGTGAATCATTACATCAGGGGACTTGCTCTTCGTGCGAAGTCTAGACGAGGAAATGTTCGTGATCAATTCTCAGCACATCGCAGAAGCCTTACTGGACAAGCGTTCTCGTATTGACCATATCTAGCAACACTCGTGCCGTGGGTTCGTTCAGTATTCCTTTATTCAACCAGGCTGAGGTTCTCGCAGATATGGCTTGTCGATCAACTTTGGATTCACAGCTTATGGCGATGAATGGCGTCTTTGCAAACGACTTTTCCACTAAACTTTCCGTCCCGACTCTGCAGCAAAATTTCGCCCGATGCAGATCAAGTGTGCTCGTGAGATTATCGTCAACCTAGTCGATGACCCTCAAAATTATCACGACCATTTCGCAACGTCAGCAAATAATTTTCACGAGTTGAATCATTATTTATCTATCCACAGATTCTCGTTATCTGTTGTGATGTCAACTGTATATGACTACGATATCGGTGCTCTTGATGATCCTATGGTACAGACCGTGATAAAGGCATTGGTTCCAGGCTTGACCGTGTTGACCCCAGAGAGAGCATTACTACTCAAAACCTTTCCCTTCTGTGAGCTCAACTCTCCTGGATGAGATAGCGTTAATATGACACGCACTTTTGTGAAATGTAGTACTAAAGGTACCTGACTGGTGCTGGGGATCCTCGATCAAGCGTAGTGCTCGAGGTTCGAGGGAGCGCCTCAATGCAATGGCCGACATACCATTTCGATATGTGCAGCAGCACATGGTGGGTGTTTATCTTTCTCTTGATTCTAGACATTGACTCGGCTCTTGGGAAGGCCGACAGCTCGTTGGTCGCTCAGTCCTCGATGGTTGCAGAAAATTTGCGACGGATGGAGAGGCAAGAGGAGGCATTCAAACCTATATTCGAGAATGCATTGAATAAAGCAGGTACTACTGCTATTATAGGTAAGTAAGCAAGCCTTTTGACGGGCAATGCTGTGCTCTCAACATGCACTAATATTGCGCAGCTTCATATGAGACGGTAAGTAGACTATTCCATATGTTCTCCGCTCCTCATCCCCGTTACAGACTGCGGCAACTTTGATGGTTTTTTTCCTGGCCATGGTATTATATCCTGAAGTTCAGAAACGCGCACAAGCGGAAATCGACTCGGTGGTTGGAAAAGAACGGTTGAGGACAGAGCATCGCTACCCTACATCGATGCAGTCGTGCGAGAGACTTGGCGATGGCAGCCTGTCGTGCCTCTTGGTATTCTTCCCTGCCAAGTAATCTGACCTGTGCTGAACATGACCTCATAGGCGTACCACATGCCACTTCGAGTGATGATGTATACAATGGGTATTTCATTCCAAAAGGTCCGCTGTTTTTGTCTTGGAATCAAAGCAATGATCATTTATAGTATTGTGCATCAGGCGCAATCATCACATACAACACATGGTCTGATATGTTCCTCCCAGCTTTCGTGGTACTGACTTGATTGTTTACACGGGATGAAAAGCGGTACCCCGACGCATCTAATTTTATACCAGAGAGGTTCATCGACAGCGATGGCGCGTTGACAAGTGATGACCCCGCACAATACATTTTCGGCCTCGGCCGGCGTATATGTCCAGGTTCGTTAACTTATTCTAACCCTACAAAAGCTTTACCGACAGATAGACTTTGATCAGGGCGGTATAACGCTGATTCCTCCGCGTGGGCTGCCATTGCGATCATGTTAGCCACATTGGATATTTCTTCTGCCAAAGATAGCCAGGGAAAAGCGATCAACTTTACTCCCAAGTTTATCCCAGGAGTGGTTCGGTAAACCTTCCCTTGCAGTATTTCGGCGCGGTCTCACATTCATTCAGACCTTGTGGACAGTTGGCGGACTGCCGAGTTTTGAGAGCAGTGATGGCAGTTTGCTATCCGTGGTCTGATTGGGAACAGCTAGAGGATCGAGTATTTCCTGCTAATGTATACTAGGTCAGCAGACGCGATGAACGTGTCCAGTTCTTCGAGGGCTATGACATTTTTGTACCTCTACCAACAAAAAGTGATTGTGATACGGAGACAAATAATTTTCAATAAGTCTGCGTTTGTCACTTTGTCTTTTTCTTCCTGTGGATATGGAGGTTAGCCGAGCGCAGAACCTCGCCAGTGACAGTGTATAGTTTTGGCCCTGTGGAACAACCTCACCTCCCCCAGTCGACATTTACATGCTGGTCTCCTAAATATTCTCATCTCATGCTCGTTATTCCTTACGTATGAACGCGTCTACCCCTAGTAAGTATAGTTCCCATAGTTGCTTGTTCATTGGATCGAAGTATGAAGCTGTGGAGTAAAGGAGACATGGCTGACGCCACTACTACGCTACAACGAATTTCCGTGGCCAGGAAATCCGGTCCAGTGTGATAGTGATGCCCGCTGCGTTGAAGTGCATTCGATGTTGGCTATCCGGTGAGCATCTTGCGATTGCAGCAGAGTCCAGACAGTAATATCTAATTGACAACCCAAGCCTCATCTATGCACCAGGGAATGCGCTGGGTTACTACACTAGATTACAGTCTGCCACCGCATACGAACAATCGCGTATGCTCCATTGCAAACGAACTATTAATTAGGTGCTTTCAGGATGTAAGTTCGCCATAGCCACGAATCCAAACAACCGGATGTGTTACTCAACACGGTCCAAGTGCACATGTTGACTTTAATGCAGACACACGATATCGTCCTCTCCAACCACCTTGAGAGTACATGGTGCCTCTGCATGTCAAATTTTGAGATCTTGTATTTGCGAGGGTCATTTGCAGGGTATGTATGATATATGAGGCTATGATAATGTGATCGTCAACGTGTTGTAAAAAACCATTCAGCTACAAGATGTCTAGGGTCCTGATGTTCATAATGTTAATCGAAGCCGGATCTTTCACCTGCGCAATGATATATTGGTCCGACGCGACCCTCTTGTATTCTCCAACGTGTTGCTGCGCTACCAAAAGTGCGCTGAAAGCCTGCCCAAGGTGAACCATCAAACGCAATGATCGTGAGTGAACATCCGAGTCAACTGACAACTTCTCTTCTCCAGGTGAGTTGCTGGACCGCTCGTCAGCGTCGTCTGATCCAGACTCGGACTCGGACCAATCCCCTACGCTCTCCACTTCGTCTGCAAAGGTGGGCTGCTCTGAAAAATCAGGCAGCCCAAGGAGACGACGGTCCCATGGACGGACAAGAAAGAACGTCTGCTGAGTGGGCCTTGTGCGCGAGAATTGAATTAGGGTCTCGTCCGTGGTGATCAGCAAGTCTCGCAGCCCATCTGCTTTCACTCCATACGTGAAATGGGCAGTACGGCCCCGCTTCCGTTTGACTTCCGTGACAGGGAATGCGATGCAAGGCAGACGGAGTCTGCAGTTCGCAAATAGGGGAGCATTCATGTTCTTGAGTAGATTATACAAGTTCGAAGCTGAATCCACAGGCACAATGTTTCGCAACGAAGAGACCGCTGTCTGAATCTCATCGTCAGACAATGATGGTAGGGAGTATGGCGGGGTTGCATATGAGATGATGTCGGCTGGAAGGCAACTATTGAACTCGGACGATTGTCCGACCCAGTCCAGGCAAGTGATGTCACCCGACCGAGACACGAGATCCTGCAGGAGCCGGCCGAGCGCGCTCTGCTTCCTCTCCCCATAGATGACAGGTAGGTGGACGTCGAAGATACCAAATAACGAGTACGCGGTGTCTTCCTGCACAGTGGTGACGCGCTTCGATGCCCATTGCAGTTTCTGTCTAGGGTCTCTCATCCCTGGATTGAAGGAGATCAGGGCCTGTGCATCTATTCCCGTCGCATCCTCCAACTCCTTCATGATTGCTGGGGACTCTTTGTGGTTGGGAGTGCGATCGTTTCGATATAATGACCAGTCGTTCTGATAAAATATAACGACTTTCGGAGCGACGAATTCTTGAAAAGTCCATCCTCGTTCGTTCCACACACTGCTCGCCAGTGCGCCGGACTGGGATGAAGGAGGAACATCGGATAGGTAGACGATGGTGAGCGCCGAGTGACGGTACCAGACGAACATGGATTGGACCGATTCTCCAAGCTCGGCGTTGTTGGTCTTATCGATGCAGCATGTATCCATCCACGCCCAGAGATACCCCGCATCACGAGCGATTTTGCAGAACGACTGCAGTTTCGTGATGCCACCAAGTCCCTTCAACTCGCGCACATCTTTATTTTGGATGTGGTGCAGCAACACCTCCGTCTCTTCCCACCTGTGTGATAGCAAAACGCAACGGAAGTGCGTCGCCACCACCTCCTTGGTGCGTTCCATTTGCAGATCCGAATACTTCGTTATGGATGACAAAAGCTCCTTGTACTCTGAACTTGTTTTGAAGGAGTTCAGCTGTGCTGCTCGGTCGCACAGAATCCCCGTGGAGGTGTTGAGCAGACGAAGGGGGGCGTTGCTGAGTTCAATCCAAACCGCTCTTCGGATAGCGTCTTCTGCTTCCGATGGACGGACGTACTGCCGACGCAGATCTGCAGAACAAGATAGGCATTACGAGACGAGGTAGCGATGTTCCATGTCTCACCTCGTATCTGCACTTCTGGAGCATTGTCTAACTTGGACAACATGATTGTGAAGGCCTCAATGGCTTCATCATAACGTTGCGCGCCACGCAGCGCTGAGTGTGACAACTGGTACCCAACATGAGATGAAGGGTTGAGTTTGGTGACCTGTGCATCGCCGAAGTCAACATTAGCTACGAAAACGTGGATGCCATCGCACCTTTTGCGCGTCGAGTAGCGCATCCTCCCATAACATTTTACATAACTTTGCCTCGCTGCGATTTGCAAAGAATATATAGGATGCAGAATCCAGGTCGATCGCCATCGAGTATAGGTCAATAGCCTCGTCGTAATCGCTTGCAGCGAAGGCAGCCTCTCCATTGGCAGCGCAGAGTGCGCTGCATTCCTGTTTGAAATCTGAGAAGAATACAGGTGAGGATTATCGCCTGCGCGACATTACTGGCTATAGACTCGCCGTTGGACCAATCAAGGCAGTCGGCATTGGTGATTTCGTCACTTGAAGCCATCATGTGTTGGTATGATTTCACGGCATCTTGAAGTTTACCCGCCCGAAGGAGTGCATCACACCGTTTATGGTGTGCATTTCGCCACAACGACTTCAGGTCCCAGCCAAAGAGCTAGACAAAGGATTCAGTTATGAAAAGCATTATACATGCATCATCTTGATTCTTGACGTACCACCACCAAATCCTCATATATTTCATGGATGTTCGATTTCGATGATGAATCGCGAGAGTCGAGAGCGGCAGTGAAATGGTCGGCAGCTTCGTCATAGCGTGCGCCATTCAAGGCTTTGATCCCGAGTTGAACGTGTAGATATGCCTAATGTGCGAGTTGTAAAGATGAGTGTTGATGACCAAGCATGGATGATACTTACTTGCACGATATCACATGCGAGAGTATCGGTATTCGGACAACCGGTAGCGAGCTTTGTGAGGAGCAGGTTTGCCTCGTCATGTTGATCTGCATTAAAAAGCGCGATGGCCTGAAATACGTGATGAAGTGAAGAATATGCGAGGCAAATGTAACACACCATACCTTGATCAATAGCAGAAAATGAAGGATTTCCGAATCCTGGTCCGTGTACATGGATGCAACATCAAATGCTGCCCTCGCATCCAGGACCCGGCCTTTTCCACAGAGGGCAATACCCTCGGAGATATAGCCCGTCAAAGAGGGCTGAATCCCGATGGACTATGTCACCGTCGAGTTAGCCCTTTATAAGGCGGCGATAATTCTCACCTTGATTGCGTCCAGAAGGGCGCGGTCCCAGTCGCATTTTCGCGCCATGACGAGTGACCGATGGGCGTAGGAAGTATGGTCGTTCGGACTGGTGTTGATATCTTGAGTGAGTAGTGTTTTGGCGGTAGATAAGTCTCCATTTAGACATGCAATACGGGAGGTCATGATGGCTAGGATCTGCAGGAAACATGCTCTAATTGTGGTATAAATGAGTCAAGAACGGAAGCATGCCTTTGAGCGATGGACGCAGGGAGTATGGTTGTTCGCATCGGTATTGATATCTTGCATGAGTAGTTCTTCGTCAGTAGATAAGTCTCCATCTATGCAGGCATCGCGGACTGTTGTGGTGGCAATAGTCTGCAAGAAGCATGCTTGATTTGTGGTATATGAGTCAGAGACGGAAACATGCCTTTGGATGTATACCCTGAGGTACTGTCCACTCTGAGATCATCTTATCGTCACCTCCACTGAAGATGTGATTGCCGTCCACGGAGAAAGTGACGCATGTCGTGGCGAATGAGTGCTTGAAGACGGCAATGGTTTGTCGATCTGAGAGCTGCAAGAGGCGAACATGGTTGTCACTAGATGCGGATGCGACGAGTGTGCCAGCAGGATGAATGGCAATGGCTTGGATGTGGTCAGTGTGGCCCGTCCAAGGATCACCGACCTGCTTCCAGGTTTTTGTATCCCATTCACGTATAGTAGGATCGCTATCACTGCCGCCTGTGAGAAGGCGTGTGCCATCGGGCGTCCACACGAGTGACATGTTATCTCCTATGTGAGCCTTGAATGATGTGACGTGTTTCCTCGTGCCTGAATTGTAAATTTGAATATTCTCATATGTTGCGATGGCAAGAAGTTCTCCAGACGGTGAATACCGTATGCAGTGGACATAGCCACACTCGATCGGATTTCCTTGCAGCTGCCAGGTTTTGGTATTCCACAGTTTCGTCATTTTGTCATATGAACCAGTGGCCAGCACTGTTCCATCGGGAGAAAAATCCAGCGAGGAGATCTCACCAAAGGAGTGTGCGATTTTGGTGAGTGATTTGCCAGTTTCTCCGTGCCAGACGATGACCTCTCCCTTGGTATCACCGCTTGCTATCAATTGCCCATCTCGTGATACCGCCAATTTGATCACCCAATTGCGATGCCCCTCCATCTTCTTCAACACAACACCTGTCTTCAAGTCCCACAGACGAAGCGTTTTGTCGAGCGAGCTCATAACCATCCGACGTCTATCAGGGAAAACTGCGACTGCAGTTATGCAATCTTCATGGCCTTTGAACGATCGCAGGGGAGTGGTGATTGTAATGAGCCCAGACATTTTACTGGATGTTGATGGTATGGAATACGGACGAGGCTAAACTTTGGAGGGATTATATCTTTCTCTAAGCTGCATGGAGGGTGTATGGTGTGTTTTATGGTGCTTCACAGCTTGCCTCATTTCAATAGACGCCCAGGATATCTAAGGCTGTTCGTGCCCACGCCTCCATTACTGTAATGCACTCACCCTATTGTCATACCCGCTGTCCTCGACAGTATGCACATCTGCAGCGCATGCATGCGTCCGACTCTTGTCTTCGCAGCTTCCAACATATATCCCATCGCATCAAGTCGAGCAGTCCGTGCTTTCCAGCGCTCTGTCTATCCTGCATGAATACCGTTGTTTTTTGCATCTAGCAGCTACTCCAGCTTATCACCACGTTACTCCTTCGAATGCATGTATATAGTTTACTGCAATATCAATTCTCCATCTAACAGACTTCGAAGATCCTTGTGTGCGCAAGATGCAACTGACTCGCCTTACATTTAACCTCTATTTGGCAGGTGGCAGGCCTCTTCCCATGTTGCATAATAAATGTGGAGCAAACTTGAATATGCTGACGGATAACGAAAGCCAACGACACTAAAAACAAAGGTAATACATGATTTCACCCCAGAACCATATCCGCACAGCTCTTAGCATTGCATTTTTACCAACTGCGATACCCTTTCCTTCCTGTGGCGAGGGGTGAATATACACGGGAATACAGGGTGCCTGCATCGACTGCCTCAGATAAAATGTAGGGGTCCCTGAGGATGACTCACGTCGTTAAGCCTCCCGTCCATTCCACTCCTTCAGCATCAGGCCCGACATTCCACCCTGGCGCACGTTCCAACCGGAAAACAGCTAGAATATTCACAACTGCGGCGAATAAAGAAGCCTCGGCGACATGTCGTCCAACACTGTTGAAAGGTGAGGCAAACCCGTCTATTCGCAAAACTCTAAGCGTCGTACCAAATACGCCTTCCAAATCCGAAAACGAAGGAAATATCATCACTGGCAGGGCCGTGTGTTGACGGCTCTTCGACGACTTTTGACATGTGACGCTCGGGTATGAACCTCGTCGGGTTAGGATATTTATCTGGATTGCGCGCCATAAACCTTGCATAAGAAGAGATGGTTATGTCTGATCTTTGTTCACTTGATATAATGACTCACCGTGCGTTGGGTACTACAGTAGCCCCTTAAAAACAGTTTTAGAAGAGGGATAGGTCTCTCAGTCCATAGACTGACCTTTTGGAATATAGTAGCCTTCCTAGATGTCGTCATTTACCGTGGCATGTGCGACGCCTAAATCCACAGTCAGTGACCGTGCTAACCGGAGTTTGACGAGTCAAGAGTGCTGACCCAGAGGGGCGACAGGGAACCACCTCAGCGTCTCCAGTATGATGGCATTGATGTAGGGCATAGAAGCGCGATCGTCCCAGTCGGGCAATCTTTCGAGAGTTTCCCCAATGACAGAATCAATCTCTGCTTGCGCACGTGTCTGCACCTCGGGATATAGAACCATCGCGAGCAGGAAGATGTATAAACTGGACGTCGTCTGGGCTTGCAATTGGTCAGTATATAGAAATCGCGTCAAAGTATACAGTTCCTGAGGCGGCTTGGAGCACGGAGAAAATGAGTAGAGATTTGTCACGAACCAGCATAACCAGTTGCACTGGATTCCTTGATCCCTTTCTCAAGAACAGCGGCCTCCCGTTCATCTTGTGTTTTAACTGGTATACGTTTCAATGCATCCGGCACTACGGATGGTGCAGCTGCCGTCCCCGCGGCCTGAGAATCATCATGAGTCTCATCTAAATAAAGACTCGGGATGGCAGTTTGCTGCTGTCCGTGGTCTGATTGAGAGCAGCTAGGTAACGTAATAATCGAATCAAGTACTTCCTGCCAGTACTTGCATACCAGGTCAGTAGACACGATGAAGGTGACCAGTTCTTCGAGGGCTATGACGTTTTGGTGACGGGGTCATTATCGACGTAGATGTACCCTGATTGCAAGGATGGGAAGCAAGCGTGAACTTCATCGCTGTCGAGGGAAGCCATTTGATCACTATTGCCAAGGAAGTGTCACAGTCGATCACGAGGCCTTCAAAGGAAGGACTTATTCGAACAAATTGGGGTGCTAGGCAGTTGTTCCATAGAAATTTCAAATCGGTCAACTGTCGGAGTTTGAAAACTTAACTCTCCTCGTGCCAGAAAGAACTGTAGATTAATACATTTGTTTGTTGTTATGTGATTCTGAAAGGCCTTGCACAAACTACCTCAACGTTCATTTCAAATTATTTGTTACATTCGAAGCTCCGAGTCGGAAAAACATGTATAAACTACTTGCAGTCTCGACCAGAGGTACGTTAATCCCTTACTGCATATACATGTTGACTTGCGCTGATGTTAAAGAATCAAAGTTTGGCAAGTAGACAAGAGTAATGGAAATTGGAACGTCCAAGATGACTGGAAGGCGAGCATGTTGGAAGACGCGTATTTGCGCTTACCAGCCAATTAATCGATGCTACCGTCTCCAAACAAAGATGGGCTCACCCAGAATTTGGGACCATACTCGCATCCGCCTTTTTCGACCGTACAGTCAAGATTTGGGAGCTGCATCAACAACTGATTCCTAAACGAATGGTGCTGGTGCCGGGTCTCAGGCTGTTTCATGTGGTTCCTCAAGATGGGTGGAAAGGGCCGTATTGGTTGATGCAAGAGGCACTGTCCGCGCAGTCGAATTTGCCCCTGGGTTGAAGTTGGTACGTCCGGCGTTCATTCCATTCAGAGATTTACGAGAGCTTCTGCAAGGTAACTGGCTCTTCCGATAATCATGTCCGCATCTACGAGTGCTTGGAACAATCATTGCTAGCCACATGGCAACTTTCAGAAGAAGTCGATGTCTCAATGCTCCCATCTGTGTCACTGTCCTCATCGTAATCCGTGGCGTTTGCGACACAAACACAAACAAGCGCAACTCTTGAGGGTGCTTCTGCAACCCTGGTCGCTCAAGCCCTGCAACAATCGTAAAACCCAGCTACTCTCAGGGACGACCCGGAATGGGGAATTGATGGAGGGTGGTGCATATCATGGTGTAAAGATAGATATTGGGGGGAGATCATCGCGGCTGTGGGGTATCTGGCGCTATCAAAGTATTGTCACACTCCATTTTGTGGCATCGCTCACTCTGAATCACAGATTATACAATTATCTCCCTCTCATCGCATTCATCCTGGACGCGACGCGTCACTTGCTACCTGGGCGGCAAGCACATCCTCAGCGGAGACGATAAAATGATCTTAGAGTGGACAGTGCCCAATTCAAAGGTATGTTTCCATCCTGGACTCATGTACCATAATTCGAGCATGTTTCACGCAGATCCCAGCCATCACGACAGCCCCCTTCGCCACAGTTCCGGACCCAACGCTCATCCGACAATTTTCTCACATCACTCTGCAGTGGCTGGCTGCTGAAGGGCCTACGTGTCACAGTTTCATCTGAACAGGCAACCACGCTTCATAAAGGTAAGTTCGTGTCCTTTGACAACATCATCTGCGTCTCAGATGTAGAAGCTTCACCCATCGCCCGGACTTCCCAGGAATCAGAGGCTGAGACTGCGAAGCCTACACTAGGGAAGCTCGGATGGTCGATCGAGAACTGATGATCTAGAAGGGCAGAATGACATGGAGCATGAGGAAGGAGCTATGCTACATCCAGGTCTCTGCCTATTGGATTTCCTTCCACCCGCCATGTTTTTGTGTTCCAGAGCTCTACTGTGTTGTCCATCAAGCCACTTGCCAGAAATGTGCTGTCTGGAGAAAAGTCGAGCGAGAAAATCTTGTTGGAGTGGACTTTGACTCGGATGGGCTGGGTGAGAGATTCGCCGTCCCTGTTCCAGGCTATGAGCTCCCCGCCAAAATCACTGTTTGCTATGAATTGCCCGTCTCTCGATACTGCAGCTACTCGTATGCCCCAGTGATGCCCCTCCATCATCTTCAATACGACACTGTTTTCTAAGTCCCATAGACGAAGGGTCTTGTCGTACGAGGCGGTCACCATACGGCATCCATCGGAGAATTCTGCAACTGTAAATACACTATGTCTGTGGCCTCTAAATATTTGACTAGTCGTGGTGATTCGGATGGCAGGATGTTCTTCTTCCGTTATTCTGCTCGAGGTGGACAATGTGGAGCACGATTTGCTGGAGAGCTTGTGAGTGTCTTGATCCAAGAGGTGCCGGGCCTTTTTGCTTCTTCGCAGCCTCAATCTGCATATTAGACGCCCAGGGCATCAGGCACTCGGACCGCTGCAAAGTGCAGGTATCTCCTAGTAAGTATAATTCCCATGGTTGCTTGTTCATTGGATCGAAGTATGAAGCTGTGGAGTAAAGGAGACTTGGCTGACGCCACTACTAACACGCTCGAACGAATATCCGGTCCAGTGTGATATTGATGCCCGCTGCGTTGAAGTGCGTTCGATGTTCGCTATCCGGCGAGCATCTTGCGATTGCAGCAGAGTCCAGACAGTAATATCTAATTGATAACCCAAGCCTGATCTATGCACCAGGGAATGCGCCGGGTTACTACACTAGATTACAGCCTGCCGGCCGCCACTGCATATGAATAATCGTGTATGCTCCATTGCAAACGAACTATGTACTTAAGTAGGTGCTTTCAGGATGTGATTTCGCAAGAGCCATGCACGAATCCAAACAACCGGATGTGTTACTCAACACGGTCCAAGTGCACATGTTGACTCAAATCCAGACACACGGTATCGTCCTCTGCAACCACCTCGAGAGCAGATGGTGCCTCTGCATGTCAAATAATTTTGAAATCTTGTATTTGCGAGGGGTCATTTGCAGGGTATGTATGATATATGAGGCTATGATAATGTGATCGTCGACGTGTTGTAAAAAACCATTCAGCTACAAGATGTCTAGGGTCCTGATATTCGTAATGTCAATCGAAGCCGGGTGTTTCATCTGCGCAATGATATATTGGTCCGACGCGACCCTCTTGTATTCTCCAACGTGTTGCTGCGCTAGCAAAAGTGCGCTGAAAGCCTGCCCAAGGTGAACCATCAAACGCAATGATTGTGAGTGAACATCCAAGTCAACTGACAACTCCTCTTCTCCAGGTGAGTTCCTGGACAACTCTACAGTGTCGTCTAATCCAGACTGGGACTCTGACCAATCCGCTACGCTCTCTCCTTCGTCTGCAAAGGTAAGCTGCTCTGAAAAATCAGGCAGCCCAAGGAGACGACGATCCCATGGACGGACAAGAAAGAACGTCTGCCGAGTGGGTCTTGCGCGCGAGAACTGAATTAGTGTCTTGTCCGCCGTGGTGATCAGTAAGTCTCGAAGCCCATCTGCTTTGACTTCATATGTGGAATGAGCAGCACGACCAGGCCTCCGTTTGACTTCCGTGACACGGAATGCGATGCAAGGAAGACGGAGTCTGCAGTTTGCGAAGAGCGGAGTAGTCGTGTTCTCGAGGAGGTCATACAACTTCAAAGCTGAATTTACAGGCACAATGTTTCGCAACAAAGAGACCGCTGTCTGAATCTCATCGTCAGACAATGATGGTAGGGAGTATGGTGGGATTGCATATGAGATGATGTTGGCTGGAAGGCAGCTATTGAACTCGGACGATTGTCCGACCCAGTCCAGGCAAGTGATGTCGCCCGACCGAGACACGATATCTTGCAGGAGCCGGCCGAGCGCGCTCTGCTTCCTCTCCCCATAGATGACAGGTAGGTGGACGTCGAAGATACCAAATAATGAGTACGCGGTGTCTTCCTGCACAGTGGTGACGCGCTTCGATGCCCATTGCAGTGTCTGTCTAGCATCTCTCATCCCTGGACGGAAGGAGATCAGGGCCTGTGCATCTATTCCCGTCGCACCCTCTAACTCCTTCATGATTGCTTGAGATTCTTTGTGGTTGAGAGAGCGATCGTTGAGATACAACGACCAATCCTTCTGGTAAAATCTAACGACTTTCGGAGCGACAAATTCTTGAAAGGTCCATCCCCGCTCGTTCCAAACACTGTTTGCTAGGGCACCGGGTTGGGACGAAGGAGGGACATCGGATAGGTAGACTATGGTGAGCGCTGAGTGGCGGTACCAGACGAACATGGATTGGACCGATTCTCCAAGCTCGGCGTTGTTGCTCTTATCAATGCAGCATGTATCCATCCACGCCCAGAGGTACCCCGCATCACCAGCGATTTTGCAGAACGACTGCAGTTTCGTGATGCCACCAGATCCCTTCAACTTGCGCACATCTTTATTTTGAATGTGGTGCAGCATCACCTCCGTCTCTTCCCACCTGTGTGATAGCAAAACACAACGGAAGTGCATCGCCACCACCTCCTTGATGCGTTCCATTTCGAGATCCGAATGCTTCGTTATGGATGACAAAAGCTCCTTGTACTCTTGACTTGTTTTGAAGGAGTTTAGCTGTGCTGCTCGGTCGCACAAAAGACCTGTAGAGGTGTTGAGCAGACGAAGGGGGGCGTTGCTGAGTTCAATCCAAACCGCTCTTCGAATAGCATCTTCTGCTTCCGATGGACAGACGTACTGCTGACGCAGATCTGCAGAACAAGATAGGCATTTCGAGACGAGGTAGCAATGTTCCATCACTTACCTCGTATCTGAGCTTCGGGAGCATCGTCCAACTTGGACAACATGATTGTGAAGGCCTCGATGGCCTCTTCGTAACGTTGTGCACCATGCAGCGCTGAGTGTGACAACTGGTACCCAACATGAGATGAAGGGTTGAGTTTGGTGACCTGTGCATCGCCGAAGTCAACATTAGCTACGAAAACGTGGATGCCATCGCACCATTTGCGCATTGAGTAGCGCATCCTCCCATAACATTTTACATAACTTTGCCTCGCTGCGATTTGCAAAGAATATATAGAATGCGGAATCCAGGTCGATCGCCATCGAGTGTAGGTCAATAGGCTTGTCGTATTCGCTTGCAGCAAAGGCAGCCTCTCCATTGGCAGCGCAGAGTGCGCTGCATTCCTGTTTGAAATCTGAGAAGAATACAGGTGAGGATTGTCGCCTGCGCGACATTACGGGTTCTAGACTCGCCGTCAGACCAATCAAGGCAGTCGGCCTTGGTGATTTCGTCACTTGAAGTCATCATGTGTTGGTATGATTTCACGGGATCTTGGAGTTTACCCGCACGAAGGATACCCTGAGGTACTGTCCACTCTGAGATCATCTTATCGTAACCTCCACTGAAGATGTGATTGCCGTCCATGGAGAAAGTGATGCATTCCGTGGAGGATGAGTGCTTGAAAACGGCAATGGTTTGTCGATCTGAGAGCTGCCAGAGACGAACATCCTTGTCACTAGATGCGGATGCAACGAGTGTGCCAGCAGGATGAATGGCAATGGCTCGGATGTGGTCAGTGTGGCCTGTCCAAGGATCACCGACCTGCTTCCAGGTTGTTGTATCCCATTCGCGTGTAGTAGGATCTTCCCTATTGCCACCTGTGAGAAGGCGTGTGCCATCGGGCGTCCATGCGAGTGACAAATTGAATGTTGTGTGAGCCTTGAAGGATACGACGCGCTTCCTTGTGCCTGAATTGTAAATTTGAATATTGTGGTCTGTTGCGATGGCAAGAAGTTCTCCAGACGGTGAATACCGTATGCAGTTGACTCGATCACCACACTCGATCGGATATCCTTGCAGCTGCCGGGTTTGGGTATTCCACAGTTTTGTTGTTGTTTCGTCATATGCACTAGTGGCCAGCACTGTTCCATCGGGAGAAAAATCCAGCGAGATGATATACTTGGGGTGTGCTTTTATTTTGGTGAGTAATTCGCCAGATTCTCCGTGCCAGACGATGACCACTCCTTCGTAATCACCGCTTGCTATCAATTGCCCATCTCGTGATACCACCAATCCCATCACTGCATTGCGATGCCCCTCCATCTTCTTCAACACAACACCTGTATTCAAGTCCCACAGACGAAGCGTGTTGTCCTCCGAGCCCATAACCATCCGACGTTTACTAGGGAAAACTGCGACTCCAGTTATCCCTTTTTCATGGCCTTTGAACGATCGCAGGGGAGTGGTGATCGTAACGGGCTCCGACATTTTACTGGATGTTGATGGTGTGGAATACGGCCGAGGCTAAACGTTAAACTTTGGAGGGTTATGTCTTTCTCCAAGCTACAGAGGGTGTATGGTGCATTTTATGGTGCTTCACACCTGAGGCTCCCACGTTGTCAGGCCTGTTAGACGTACCACTGTGTCGGTGTGCCTGGTCTAAGTCGAGGGGCTTTGAGTGATTCCCTGCCAGTACGAATAATTGTGAATATTTATGGGCCTTTAAGCTCACCTGGCGACAACCTGACACATCCGGACATAGTGCCGATGTTCCTGATCTATTCATAGATGCCGGAGGCTAGGAAACTCCCGTGCTTATGTCAGATACTCCTTGCTCATATAATTTGCTTCCGGTGGACAAATTTAGTGATTTCAGCGCTATCATTTGTACCTCTACCAACAAAAGGTGATTGTGATACAGAGACGATTTTCAATAAGTCTTGTCACTTCGTCTTTGTCTTCCTGTAGATATTGAGGGTAGCCGAGCACGGAACCTCGCCAGTGACAGTGTCTAGTTTTGGCCCTATGGAACAACCAGTTGACATTTACATGCTGGTCTCCTAAATATTCGCATCTCGTGCGCGTTGTTCCTGACAAGCGTCTACCAAGTCAGAGACGACTAATGGTTCAATATCGATTTCATTGAGGTTCCACGTCCGTACATACACTGCCCTACGACTTCCTCTATTCCAAGACTCTAACACAGTATGCAAGTACCGTCAACATATCAAAGGACTAATGATTATTGACCGAAGCTCTCCAGCATGTTGCTGGCTACAGTCCTCAAGTCCTTTGCAGTAATGATGATCCCCTCTACCTGCTCTGAATCTTGCATCTCCTGTCCCATCTCCTGTCGTCGCCTGTTCTCTTGCATGAGCCCCTCCAACTCTTCGACCACGTAATCCACATTGTCGATGAGCTGCTCGAGATCAGATTTCGAAGCAATCTGCATATACTGCTTTGTGCCATCCACAAGGACAAGAAGGAGCTTGAAAGAGCGCGCGTTGTTAATGTCATAGAGAATATACTTCCACGCGCTTCTCATCACGTCCCACCACTGCTGCTCCGTATCAGAATCGAGCGATGTGATCGATGTCTGTTGAGGTGTGATTTGGAGGAGGATGCCAGCTATGTAAAAGGTATGCTGCATGGGTGATTCGGAATAGCAGGACTGTGGAATCATGCTAATGCACCGATCTATGTGGCGGTCCCCAAACAAATGGGGGTGCCAGTCGGAATTTCTTGCGAGGGCACAGACTAGTTCGAGATAGCACAGGTCGCGGTCATAATTGAAAAAGGGGTCGGCATCATCATTGGTGGGTGTTGTACCTGGGTGTGGACAAACCACAGACAAGATAGCGGAGGAGAGCTTAGTCAAAACAATGTCCCGTAGCCTCGCATCGTCAATGACATCGATTGAGGCGATTTGTTCTCGGGCACTGCGAGCAGCGCGAAGAGCGGCATGGCGTAAATGGAGAGGCATGTTGCTGTCCATGCAGGCGATGAGCCTCTCGATGAACAGACGTTGTTTGGCGGGGCTGCAGCACACCCCCATACTACCCAGTAGCAAAAGGATGTCATATGCCGCTTCGTGGTCGTCGAAATATATGAAGTCGAGGTAGTCGACCACCCAGTCGAAGTCTTCTGGCGAGTGGAATTCATTTCCCCACGAAGACAAATCCCACACCCGGGCAGGCTCACGGGATACCTTGGCAGCAGCGAAAGTGAAGTGCAGTGCATTTCGCGGAGCTGCCAACGAAACCGAGGCATCGGATGACCTCACTCGTGAATAAATCTTCCTGCACACATCCAGGTTCCGCATGGAATAGGTTGAACCAAGATAGTGACCTCCGGTAAGCTCAAGGATGCGCCAAATGATATCGAGAAGCTTCCATGCCCGGCGTGCGACTCCTGTGCTATCATTGTCAAGCTCGCCTCCATTCCATGCCCAGGAAGCCTTTTGGAACTGCGCCAAAAGAGACTCGCTGAGTAGAGGCAGAGCAGAACTACATCATCTCTTTGTTAATCATGACAGAAAACTACCAAATGAGTCGATGGCACCTTTTATCAATCCGAATTATGTCTTTCTTGTCAACCTGAGCCCCGACCATGACGCAAGCAAGAAGAGTGCAATTGGCTACGATTTGATTTGACGGAGAGGATGCGGATGATAGCAATTTCGATATCACTGTTATCGCAAGGTTTTCTATGTATTTGTTCACTTGCCCAGTGACGAAGTGATAAGGAAGAAGATGTGACAACCGCTCATAGACAGAGTCAGGGCAAGCCTCTGGGAAAAAAGCACTCCAGCTACTGCCATCTGAACAAAGATCTAGAGTCGTGCTAGGCACCGTTCGGTCGGCTATGCGCACGTAAATCTCATAAAACACGTCGAAGTCTCCTGTCCCGCGGATAATGAATTCGCCGCGGTCAGGATATGCCTGAAGAACACGTCCATAGTATAGGTGAGTTAGAGCCGTTGTACATGCCGACGCCTTCTCCTCCAAAGACGGTACGATGCGCTGCTGAATGTCAACGCAGCTCATAAAAATATCAAAAAGCTGATGCAGCATGTCTGAAACATCAAGATCCAGGGCCCATTCGACCTGCGGGACAAGACTGGCAGCAGCGAGAAATATTTCAGGATCCGTAGATGTCTCGAGCAGCCACTTGACGCTATGCGCTTCGAGATCGCTGGTGGGTATGTCGGGGAGGTCGAGGTTAAGGGTGTCATCATTCTCCGCCAAAACATCCGTATCCTGTTCGAGCGGTTGTGCCTCTGAGTCCACAACATTTGTTGAAGAACTCGGAACCAAAGAACGCAGCCGGTTATGAAGCCTGGTGATGAACTGCCGAAGAGATCGTCGTGTGAATGTACCCATCGCAAGTACAGGGCCTGGGGAGTGAATGAGCCTCGAGTATCTTTGTAATAGTAGATGAGATTGTCACCTCTGAATACTTCAAACAATCGGGTCCATCCCGATCTGACGATACTAAACAATCGTTTGAGCACGCCTGACATGAAACGGTCAAAACCTGTGCACATGGAAGAAGACATAACTCACCTTGCAGTAACGTCGTGGGCCGCTGGAAATAACAGGAAACTCGTTTGAACACCAGGCGTAGAGCCCCTGCAATGTTGATTCAGACGTGGAACGACCATCAGAATTCGGGGAAATGATCTTACTGTCAACGCGGAACACCCGTAATACCATCGATATCGGCGTCTGGAATGGACAAGCAGGAGATATCAAACAAGCCATGACAGTCAGGGAATAAAACAGAAATCCGAAGACCGTCGTCCCGATGATGACCCAGGCGATGCTCGCCTGCTCGTACCACAAATGGGCGCCAAGAGCGATCCCAAAGAGAAGAAGAGAGATCTGAAGTAAGACCGGAAACGATTGCACGACGGCATCAAAATACCATGTGACGAGGCCGTCAAACTTCTCTTGCCTGCGCTTCCCTCGCTCCTCCTGCGAGCCGCGGCCATATCTGTTCGACTTGTAGTACCCGAGCCACTGCTTTCCCAGCACGGCCCCGAATGCAGCGAGCAAGCTCATGGACAAGCTCGCATATGCGATCGTTTGGATCCATAAGGTCGGCGCGCTCAGAGACCACATAGATGTTGGGTCTGCGGGAGTGGAGCCTGCCTCGGCGAGATTGCCGAGTCCGATCTGCACGAGTTGCTTCAAGAGGGCATTCGTAGTGTCGCTAGGGTCGGGACTGAGATTGGGCTCCATGGCGACGATGAAAGACGTGCTGACAGCGGAGAAAAGACCAGACTGGTCGAACATCAGTCTCCAAACGAAATACAGATAAGCACCCTGAACATACGAAGATCAAGACAATGTCCATGTCGGTAGTGTATCGCTCGAGGAACTCGCTGTCGTGTTCCTCTGCGACCCTTTTGTACACCCCCCAGAAACGAGACCGTTTGTCCTTTCCACTCTTCGACGCAATCGTCGAGTCCTGGAGGACATCCAATACCTGCTTCATGACATTTGCTCTGCGTGTGGGTGTGGTCAGCTGCGATCGCTTGTATTCAAATTTTGGGCTTACAATTCGCTTAGAGTCGGCTCGTCATTCTCTGCCTCAAGCTTTGCCACCTCACTGAGACGAATGAGGAGTATGTTTGGCGTCATTACTGACAAGGACTCACGGAGTCAAATCCTCGACTGGTGGAACATTGGATGTACTTTGCTGTGTCAGAGGCGCCGCCGGCTGTGGAGGTCCAGTATTCGAGCTGCAGTTATAGTAAGGAGTGGCGCAGACGCCCATCAGGGAAGAAACACATACATCCCTAATGGCAGCTCCGCCAAAGGTTCAACATTTATCTTCTCCCTGTCTTGCTGTTAGACAAGTGATAGATTTCAGGAAGCTGCAACTCACTCTTCGATGAGCCCTACCACGTCGTTTTGTGAGAGAAGCTGCTCATCGTTGTGGGTGCGTTGATCCTCGGCGTCGTCGGTGGCTGATACTTGTGACATGAGGAAGTTATAGGTACTATTGGATTCCAAGAAAGCTAGTGAAATTTGGAAGAGTCTGAGATGAGCGGACAGAGTGGACTCGGAGTGGTGCACAGGTGACAGCAAGTCATTTAGGCGGCTACGACTCGAACACGTGCTTGTGAGCGTTGACGCCGAAAGTTTTCATGAAAGCTCCCTGAAGTGAACTGAGACCTTATCATCATCATGGTGATAGATCCTTCTAGGCCCGGTCTTTATGCATGGCACTCCATTGAAGTAGTTCAAGCTGACATATATATGGAAGGGTGTGCACTGAGAGCTCTGTTTATACTGGACGTTGCGAACGACTCTTCGTGATGATGCGATGTCCCCAAAATGCCGATTGAGAAGGTTTTGTCAAGGAAGGGCAGCTTCATACATAATTTGCATGGCTTCAACCGAGCTTCAATGTCGTAAAGTTTCTTTGTCCAGTTGGCAGTTTGTCGATTTCACACGATTCTAAATATTTACAAACTATTTGATCGGTCGTTCAATCTTCCTGTGCAATCATTTATGCACATGCCTCGGGTGCGGGACATGCCCTTGGCCCGGCGTGACATAGTGTTCGTGTATATTGGCATATGATCAATTCCGTGCGTCCTTCCACCTTGTTGATCAAAGCATTCTTGAAACAATCTGACGACTTCCCATCTAGTCATGCAGCCACGCGCAAGCTGTTGCCAAGGACTTTCCCAGACTTCGAGACTGTCACTACCTCCCGATATGTACTACACCCAATTTCGACTTCAATCTTGTATTTTCCAATTTGATACCGTAAGGTGCACTGATGGTTTGTGGGTAAGAATGAAGTTGCACGACACTGATGTGGCATAACACTGTATTTATGCACAAGACATATTCTGACTACGACACCAGAGACAACCACAGTTCGGACCAACCCAATGAGCCATCCTATCACCTCTTATTAGTAGAGTTACGTGGGAGCATCTGATCCATTTGTAAGTTCTAACATATTACACTGGCTGACTTGATGCGATCACGGACTCGACACGGTTCTATGCGTTCATCCATCTGCGAGCACCGAGTCTCCGTATCGTCCGATCCACAACTTGCGTCCTAATGATAGCTTCGTAAGCCAAGCAGTCAGCACCATCCGTTATCAGCGCTTCCACCTCATATGCGTGAAGACTGGCCTCGATATTTGCGACCATGTAACTATAAATACAGGGTCAGTCTCACTGTCTTCATCCAGCTAATCCACCAACCATGTACATCCCTCCATTTGATACCATCTCCTACTCCACCACCACCCAATCACCCAATCCATCCTGGACATATAGCCAGAGAGTCGACGCACTCCTGCCGGAAAAGACTGGCTTGCAGGCGAATCTGCAGGCTGGAAAGTCTACAGCACAACAGAAATGGACAAGACGTACGTACTCATCCACCTGTTTATCAGCCGCGATCATGACCGTGATCGACAGCAATCTCAACAACCTCTTGAATTCAGGCGTTCTACCACGCCCCATGTCACTCGTATCCACGATCAGCGAGGATGGCGTAGAGAACCTGGCACCTTTCAGGTAAGACACGCCTCCATAATCTAATACATTCTACATGCTTACCTGGCTTGCATCCACCAGTTGGTCCAACACAGTGAGCAATGCGACAGACAACGCGTCCCTCTAATGGTCTAATAACCTTTTCCCATAGGTCACCAACTACCCGCCTGTCATCTCATTCACGATCAACCACAATGCTACGGGCAGCCTAAAAGATACGACCGCGAACCTGAAGAACGGCCAAGGATTCACCGTGAACATCATCAGCGAGGCATTCGTCGAGAATGCAAATTCGACTGCCGTAGACGCTCCTCCCGAGTTCGACGAGTGGGCTCTCAGCGGTCTGACAAAGGAGAAATGCATACGTGTGGACCTTCATCATTCGATACATGGACTAACAGTCATGCGTTCAGGTGCAAATAAGAGCCTCGCGCGTCAAGGAAAGCGCTTTTAGCATGGAATGCGAGGTAATTTCATTTCACGCCTAGCCCGGTCGTTCGCTGACATTCTCGCCTCTCAATAGCTCTACAAATCGATAGATATCACACATCCAGTCACAGGCGAGCACAACAGCACGCTCATCCTTGCGCACGTCAAGTACTTCCACGTGCGCAAAGACATGCTCACAAGCAGAGGTGCCGTCGACCTCACAAAATTCAAGCCTGTCGCGCGTGTGGGCGATATTTCATATGCCCGGGTCGGAGATACATACAGGATCCCTGTGCCTTCATGGGCGCAGGAGGAGGCGAAGATACAGGAAGCATTGAAGACACTCGCATCACTATAAAATAGAACGAGGGTGGCTTACCATTTCTGAGGAAGATATACCATAGATCATATAGATATCAGCATCCAGGCGGGATAGAGTCCGTCGCTATTTCTTTTCCCTAAGATAGACCTTTATAATTGACTAGCAAGCCGTACTTTTCCAAGTGCACATGTTGACTAGAATGCAGACACACGATATCGTCCTCTGCAACCACATCGAGAGTACATAATGCCTCTGCATGTCAAATTTTGAAATCTTGTATTTGCGAGGGTCATTTGCAGGCTGTGTATGATATATGAGGCTATGATAATGTGATTGTCGACGTGTTGTAAAAAACCATTCAGCTACAATATGTCTAGGGTCCTGATGCTCATAATGTCAATCGAAGCTGGGTCTTTCATCTGCGCAATGATATTATGGTCCGACGCGACCCTCTTGTATTCTCCAACGCGTTGCTGCGCTACCAAAAGTGCGCTGAAAGCCTGCCCAAAGTGAACCATCAAACGCAATGATCGTGAGTGAACATCCGAGTCAATTGATAACTCCTCTTCTCCAGGTGAGTCGCTGGACGACTCATCAGTATCGTCTAATCCAGACTGGGACTCGGACCAATCCCTTACGTTCTCCCCTTCGTCTGCAGAGGTGAGCTGCTCTGAAAAATCAGGCAGCCCAAGGAGACGACGGTCCCATGGACGGACAAGAAAGAACGCCTGCTGAGTGGGCCTTGCGCGCGAGAATTGAATCAGGGTCTTGTCTGTGGCGATCAGCAAGTCTCGAAGCCCATCTGCTTTTACTCTATACGTGGAATGAGAAGCGACATCCCGCCTTCGTTTGACTTCCGTGACACGGAATGCGATGCAAGGCAGACGGAGTCTGCAGTTGGCGAAGAGCGGAGCATTCATATTCTTGAGCAGGTTATACAAGTTCGAAGCTGAATCCACAGGCACAATGTTTCGCAACGAAGAGACCGCTGTCTGAATCTCATCTTCAGACAATGATGGTAGGGGGCATGGCGGGGCTGCATATGAGATGATGTCGGCTGGAAGGCAACTATTGAACTCGGACGATTGTCCGACCCAGTCCAGGCAAGTGATGTCGCCCGATCTCGCCACGACCTCCTGCAGGAGCCGTCCGAGCACATTTTGCTTCTTCTCGCCATAGATTACAGGCGGGTGAACGCCGAAGATACCAAACAACGAGTACGCGATGTCTTCCTGCATCGTGGTGACACGTTTTGATGCCCATTGCAGCTTCTCTCGAGCGTCTCTCATCCCTGGACGAAAGGAGGTCAGGGCCTGTGCATATATTCCCGTCGCACCCTCCAACTCCTTCATGATTTCTGGAGGACGAGGTAGCAACGTTCCATGGCTTACCTCGTATCTGAGCTTCTGGAGCATTGGACAACTTGGACAACATGATTGTGAAGACCTCGATGGCTTCTTCGTAACGTTGCGCGCCACGCAGCGCTGAGTGTGACAACTGGTACCCAACATGAGACGAAGGATTGAGTTCGGTGACCTATGCATCGCCAAAGTCAACATGGGCTACGAAAACGCGGATGCTATCGCACCTTTCGCGCGTCGAGGAGCGCATCCTCCCATAGCATTTTACTTAGCTTTGCCTGGCTGCGACTTGCAAAGAAGATATCGGATGCAGAATCCAGGTCGATCGCCATCGAGTATAGGTCAATAGCCTTGTCGTAATCGCTTGCAGCGAAGGCAGCCTCTCCGTTGGCAGCGCAGAGTGCGCTGCATTGCTGTTTAAAATCTGAGAAGAATACAGGTGAGAATTGTGGCCTGCGCGACATTATTGGCTCTAGACTCGCCGTTGGACCAATCAAGGCAGTCGGCCTTGGTGATTTTGTCACTTGAAGCCATCATGTGTTGGTATGATTTCACGGCATCTTGGAGTTTGCCCGCCCGAAGGAGTGCATCACAGCGTTTATGGTGTGCCTTTCGCCACAACGACTTCAGGTCCCAGCCAAAGAGCTGTACAAGAGATTCCGTTATGAAAAGCGTCATATAGGCATCATCTTGACGTACCACCACCAAATCTTCATATATTTCATGAATGTCCGATTCCGATGATAAATCGCTAGAGTCGAGAGCGGCGGTGAAATGGTCGGCAGCTTCGTCGTAGCGTGCGCTATCCAAGGCTTTGATTCCGAGTTCGACGTGTAGATATGCCTAATGTGTGAGTTGTAAAGATGAGTGTTGATGACCAAGTATGGATGATACTTACTTGCACGATGCCACATGCGAGAGTATCAGCATTCGGACAACCGGCAGCGAGCTCTTTGAGGAGCAGGTTTGCCTCGTCATGTTGATCTGCATTGAAGAGCGCGATGGCCTGAAATAGTACGCGATGAATGGAAGAGTATGCGAGGCAAATGTAACATACCTTGGTCAATAGCAGAAAATGAGTGATTTCCGAATCCTGGTCCGTGTACATGGATGCAACATCAAATGCTGCCCTCGCATCCAGGACCCGGCCTTTTCCACACAGGGCAATACCCTTGGAGATATAGCCCGTCAATGAGGGCTGAATTCTGATGGACTATGTCACCGTCGAGCTAGCCCTGTATAAGGCGGCAATGATTCTCACCTTGATTGCGTCCAGAAGGGCGCGGTCCCAGTCGTGTTTTCGCGACATGACGAATGACCGATGAGCGTAGGAAGTATGGTTGTTCGGACTGGTGTTGATATCTTGGGTGAGTAGTCCTTCGGCGGTAGATAAGTCTCCATTTAGACATGCAATACGGGAGGCCGTGATGGCTAGGATCTGCACGAAACATGGTCTAATTGTGGTATATATGAGTCAAGAACGGAAGCATGCCTTTGAGCGATGGACGTAGGGAGTATGGTTGTTCGCATCGGTATTGATATCTTGCATGAGTAGTTCTTCGTGAATAGATAGATCTCCATCTATGCATACATCGCGGACTGTTGTGGTGGCAATAGTCTGCAAGAAGCATGTTCTATTTGTGGTATATGAGTCAGAGACGGAAACATGCCTTTGGATGTATACCCTGAAGTACTGTCCACTCTGAGATCATCTTATCTTCACCTCCACTGAAGATGTGATTGCCGTCCACGGAGAAAGTGACGCAGAAATTGGCGAGTGAGTGCTTGAAGACGGCAATGGTTTGTTGGTCTGAGAGATGCCAGAGACGGACATCGTGGTTGTCAGATGCGGATGCGACGAGTGTGCCAGCAGGATGAATGGCAATGACTAGGATGAAGTCAGTGTGGCCCGTCCAAGGATTACCGACCTGCTTCCAGGTTGTTGTATCCCATTCGCGTATAGTAGGATCCTCTTCATCGCCGCCTGTGAGAAGGCGTGTGCCATCGGGCGTCCACGCGAGTGACCAGTTTAATGATTTGTGAGCCTTGAATCCCAGGGAAAACTGGACATGGCCAAAACGGTTGAGATCAAGCGGAATATGACGAATCCAGAAGCACCATATTTCACTATAGGAGACTCGCTGTGGAGACAAATAGAATATTTCGCATCTGTTGCAATCTTCTCGAATGTTGTAGGATATGTTAAGAATATTGATATCATATTTCAGCATATTTCAATCGAGTTCCACTGGTACGACAAAATCGGTTGTATTCGGGTGAAATATGCTATAATCTACTAATACAAATGCTTCGACCTACGACCAGAAAACACGATATAGGATGATGGTGATAGAACTAGCACGACAGTGTAAAGCAGGCAACCTCGACGGCAGCAAAAGAACAGGAGCGACGTGGACAGGCGAGGAGGGAGACAATCGGGAGGAAACCGGCAGGCAATAGCAAAAGAACAGGAGCGATGTGGAGTGAGACAGGCGAGCACAGGTAATTTGGAAGCGACCAGCAGGCGATGGCAGGAATGATGTAGACAGTAGAGGAGTTAGACGAGCGAGCAGGCGCTGTTCTTCGTCCAGCGCCCTGCTTTTTCCTAAGAAGTCTCAGCGACTTGATAATATGAGTAGCAAGGCTGTACTTACGAGTTCTCTAGCCTCCCTATCATAAGACTGTGGACAGAAGTGTCAGTAGAATGAAAGGATATGGTATCGAGGACGGTAGTGGTTGTCGGTACAGGTACCAGCTTCAAGTTCGAACTTGGAACAGTCTCGGAGTCATTAGACTGGACAACATAAAGAAGAGTTCCACTTACTGAGCATACAACCTTTGTTATGATACATACAGTGATAACATACTTAAATCGAAGATTCATACAATCTGCTGAGGAAGTTGGCGACAGTAGGAGGATGATGACTTGGCGGGAAGATGATGTTATGAGGAGAAGTAGGAAAAATAGGGTTGCCCCAATGAATTATAACTTTGGGGTGAATGATGTCACAAACTCTGCGCAAACAAAAGAGTACGTACTATAGCTAGCCGTTGTGCGATGTATGTGATGCAGCACGATGTGAAGTAGTCGATGAATTGCATAGCAGAAGTGCATGCGGTGCACGTGCGTCGTGCGAGCGCTTGACAAACTTTAGTGCGATCGACAACGCAATGGCCGCAGTGTGCGCATCAAATCGACAACGATGTAATGTTTTTACGATGCGATGTGTAGACGATCGTGTCGTTGAAGATTACACAATATTATAGCATAAATTATATGTCTAAACAATATTCCACTTGATCTCAACCGTTTTGGCCATGTCCAGTTTTCCCTGGGCTTGAATGATGTGACGCGTTTCCTCGTGCCTGAATTGTAAATTTGAATATCTTCGTTTGTTGCGATGGCAAGGAGTTCTCCAGACGGTGAATACCGTACGCAATTGGCAAATTGACACTCGATCGGATCTCCTTGCAGCTGCCAGGTTTTGGTATTCCACAGTTTCGTCATTTCTTCCCAATGTGAACCAGTGGCAAGCAGTGTTCCATCGGGAGAAAAATCCAGCGAGGAGATGACATAGGAGTGTGCTTCAATTTTGGTGAGTAATTCGCCAGTTTCTCCGTGCCAGACGATGACCACTCCATCATCATCATCACCGCTTGCTATCAATTGTCCGTCTCGTGATACCGCCAATTTCATCACCAGACTGCGATGCCCCTCCATCTTCTTCAACACAACACCTGTATTCAAGTCCCACAGACGAAGCGTTGTGTCCTCCGAGCCTGTAACCATTCGACGTTTATCAGGGAAAACTGCGACTGCAGTTATGTATCCTTCATGGCCTTTGAACGATCGCAGGGGAGTGGTGATTGTAATGAGCTCCGACATTTTACTGGATGTTGATGTATGGAATACGGACGAGGCTAGACTTTGGAGGGATTATATCTTTCTCTAAGTTGCAGAGGGTGCATGGTGCGTTTTATGGTGCTTCGCAGCTTGCCTCATTTCAATAGACGCCCAGGATATCTAAGGCTGTTCGTGCCCACGCCTCCATCACCGTAATGCACTCACCCTATTGTCATACCCGCTGTCGTCGACAGTATGTACATCTGTAGTGCATACATGCGCGTCCGACTCTCGTCTTCGCAGGTTCCAGAATCTATCCCATCGCATCAAGTCGAGGAGTCCGTGCTTCCAGCGCTCGAATCTGACTGTCTATCCTGCATGAATACCGTTGTTTTTCCTATCTAGCAGCTACTCCTGCTTATCACCACGTTACTTCTTCGAACGCATGTATATAGCTTACTGCAATATCACTTCTCCATCCAACAGACTCCCAAGATCCTTGTGTGCACAAGATGCAACGGACTTGCCTTACATTTAACCTCTATTTGGCGTCTCTTCCCATGTTGAATATGCTGACGGATCATTAACGAAGGCCAACGACACTAAGAACAAAGGTAATACATGATTTCACCCCAGAACCATATCCGCACAGCTCTTAGCATTGCATTTTTATCAACTGCGATACTCTTTCCTTCGTGTGGCGAGGGGTGAATATACACGGGAATACAGGGTGCCTGCATCGACTGCCTCAGATAAAATGTAGGGGTCCCTGAGGATGACTCACATCGTTAAGCCTCCCGTCCATTCCACTCCTTCAGCATCAGGCTCGACATTCCACCCTGGCGCACGTTCCAACCGGAAAACAGTTAGGATATTCACAACTGCGGCGAATAAAGAAGCATCGGCAACATGTCGTCCTACACTGGTAAAAGGTGAGGTAAACCCGTCTATCCGCAAAACTGCAAACTTCGTACCAAATACGCCTTCCAAATCCAAAAACAAAGGAAATGTCATCACTGGTAGGGCCGTGTGTTGACGGCTCTTCGACGGTGACTTTTGACATGTAACGCTCGGGTATGAACCTCGTCGGGTTAGGATATTTATCTGGATTGCGCGCCATAAACCTTGCATAAGAAGAGATGGTTATGTCTGATCTTTGTTCACTTGATCTGATGAATCACCATGCGTTGGGTACTACAGTAGCCCCTTAAGAAACAGTTTTAGAAGAGGGATAGGTCTCTCAGTCCATAGACTGACCTTTTGGAATATAGTAGCCTTCGTAGATGTCGTCATTTACCGTGGCATGTGCAATGCCTAAATCCAGTCAGTAACCATGCTAACCGGAATTCAATGAGTCAAGAGTGCTGACCCAGAGGTGCGACAGGGAACCACCTCAGCGTCTCCAGTATGATGGCATTGATGTAGGGCATAGAAGCGCGATCGTCCCAGTCGGGCAATCTTTCGAGAGTTTCCCCGATGACAGAATCAATCTCTGCTTGCGCACGTGCTTGCACCTCAGGATACAGAACCATCGCGAGCAGGAAGACGTATAAAGTGGATGTCGTCTGTGCCTTTGGTCAGTATATAAATAAAATAGAAATCGCGTCAAAGTATACAGTTCCTGAGGCGGCTAGGAGCACGGAGAAAATGAGTAGAGATATAATGACCATTGCAGATTTGTCACGAACCAGCATAACCAGTTGCACTGGATTCCTTGATCCCTTTCTCCAAAACAGCGGCCTCCCCTTCATCTTGTGTTTTGACTGCTATACGTTTCAACGCATCTGACACCACGGATGGTGCAGCCGTCCCCGCCGCCTGAGAATCATCGTGAGCCTCATCGAAATAATTCCGATCAAAAGGCACTTGGAACTTGCCATGCTGTTCTTCACATGTTCAAAGGGCATGTCCACAATCATGGGAACGAGGGTTCTCTGGACTATGGCATCCCTGACAAAGCTCGCTCCAGGGAGCCAAGGAGGAAGTTTTTCTACTGTGGGTGTATTAGAATAGAACTACAACTGATCGAAGTTATACGCACATATGGGGAATTGTGTTACAACAGCTGCGACCTCGGGCCTGAATACTCTTACATCTATCTCAAGTGAGCGTTCAATGAGCGCGAGGAAGGGATCATTGACGGGCGCTATAGCATAGTCATACATGATTGACATTATGGTAGACGTGCTGAAGCTACGTAGAAAGTATTGTTCAGCCACGCAATACATGAAAGGAGAGATTACTCACGTGTGTAAATGGGTTCCATACAAATCCGGAGAGGCTAGTAGGTTCAGTATCAAACTGCGAGCATTGCGCATTTGAATCGGACGGAAGGATAACACTGCTTCTAAACGGAATGCTTCATGGAAGATTCGCCTGTCTGTAAAGACATGATAAGTAGGATAAGAGAGCTCGAAGGGATGATATACTAACGAAGTCTCCACTTGTCTGAGTAGGGTAGAAAGGTAGTGGAGTAGTCATGACCAAAACTAGGACTCATTCAACAACGGGTACATCAAAAGATAGAAGGGCCTCACAAGTCAAGAATATGCACGAGCCCTGGAGGTCTCGTGGAATAGTTATGTGAACGACGGTCGAGCAAGTCATGGGCAACTCTTTCGGAGTTGATGATCACG